GGCACCATGGAGCAATGATACAAAAAATAACTATAGTGGCTGGTTAGTGTCCCCAATCTGGATTTGGTTGGGATCTAACAACAAAGCTGTGAGATCCACATCGGGTTTGGAAACCTTTGTGGGATTCCTTATAAGGGTTTGGAAATTTCTCCCAATTAGACGTGTTTTAAAATTTTGAGGGGAAGTCCAAAGAGGACAATATTTGTTAGCGGTGGGTTTGGGGTGTTACAAATGGTATCAGAGCCAGACACCGGTCGGAAACCTCTCCCTATCATACGCATTTTTAAACCTTGAGGGGAAGCCCAAAGAGGACAGTATCTGCTGAGAAAATATCAGGTTGCTCATTTAGGATTTAGGATAAGTAGAGAAGCATATAAACTTCTAGGCCCCAAAGAAAAGGGAAAGAATTCTAGATGAGGTAAATGATGAACAACTCTCATTGTCCAACCTTTCAAACTCTCTCCAGGTTCTGGTGGCTATAATCAGCATTTTCTGTTTGTTCATTCTCTCTGCAACTCAAAGATTCATCGGCATCTGGGTCGCCTTAACTATCTACATGAGCCTACGAACGCTAGCCGGATTCTGGAGGTACGTTGATATTTTGCCCTTTTCATCTAACCAAACGTGTTACAGTAGCCATTACAAAAGACCAATGTTTTTTAACAGCACCTGGATTCATTTACAGGGTAGGCACTGGAACAGGCCCTTGGTATTTCCTCCGGAGCTAGGATAGAGTTTGTCCGTTGAACATCGATAAGCTGATCGGTGACGTTTCTTTTACAGAATCACCATGTAATTTATCTCCAAAGACATACCTCCATACGCAGGGTTTTGCATCAGGACATCCAAGCATAAAACCTTAAAATTGTGATAGCTTCGAGTTCATGTACAGAAGAGAGATGGCTGCCTGTTCTTGCACGTATACGACAAGAAAATAGAAGATGTTTTAGTGTTTTGTAGTTGTAAATGGCCGTTCTGAGAGTGATTATCAGTGTAATAACTGAAAATTGTTTTAAATTTTATGCAAGTTTTTTATATGCATTCCTTTTACTTTGAAACTATTCGTTCCAAGCTCATGAAAAAGTGTTTGATTTTCATCTTAAATATAAATAATAATTTTTATTTATAGATTGTGTTACGTGATGTTAAAAATAATTAAATCATATTCATATTCTAATAATTATTAAAAATATTTTAAATTAATTTTAGTGCAACTTAAAATTTAAAAACAATCATAAAAAAAATTGTTTCACCCAAACTATACCGTCAAGTTTGTTTAAATTATTTATTTTCATTTTTAAAATTTTTAATTTTGTGTGAAATTAAAGGTTTAATATCAAGATATAAAATTTAGTTTTTAAAATATTAAATATACTAGAAATTTAATTTCTATTTGATTAGATAGTTTATAATCTTATTTTTTATTAACTGTAAATGAAATTGTAATTTAACCCATAGTTAAATAATTTTCCCCAACTTCACTTCAAAAGCGTTGATCTGTTGATCGTTTACTTTATCCTTTAACTTCCTTGCTCCCCCGCGCCAAATGTTCGTGGCTCTTTGTCGATGGAGATTTCAGCCACCCTAAGCATTCACGGACGCTCTCCGACTCCTAAACAAGCCATCAATGTCTCAAAGGACTGGAACTTGATTATAAAGCACCAAACCAAGCTTAAGAATGACCATGCCATTCTTTCTACATATACCCAGATGGAGTCTCTTGGTATTGCACCCGATTCTGCTACAATGCCTCTTGTTTTAAAAGCTTGCGGGAGGCTCAACGCCATTGAAAAAGGGGCACGAATTCATTCTTGTATTAGGGATTCGGATTTGATCAGAGATGTTCGGGTTGGGACTGCCTTGGTCGATTTCTATAGTAAATGTGGTCTTGTTAGAGAGGCCAGTAAAGTGTTCGATGAAATGCCTGAAAGAGATTTGGTGTCGTGGAATGCATTGATTTCGGGATATGTGGGCTGTTCGTGCTATAAAGAAGCAGTGTTGTTGTTTATGGAGATGCAAAAGGCAGGCCTCACACCCAATTCTCGTACTGTAGTGCCTCTGCTTTTGGCTTGTGCTGAGATGTTGGAACTGCGATTAGGACATGAGATTCATGGTTATTGTTTGAGAAATGGGTTGTTTGATATGGATGCACATGTTGGTACTGCTTTGATAGGATTTTATATGAGATTTGATGCAGCAGTTTCTCACCGAGTTTTTAGCTTGATGGAGATGAGAAATGTAGTGAGTTGGAATGCAATGATAACCGGATATCTCAATATTGGAGATTACCCAAAAGCTTTGAAGCTTTTTAGTAGTATGCTCACTGAGGGTATAAAGTTTGATGCTGTTACAATGCTGCTGGTAATTCAAGCCTGTGCAGAATCTGAGTCTCTCCAATTAGGCATGCAACTGCATCAGTTGGCTATCAAGTTCAATTTCATTGATGACTTGTTCGTATTAAATGCACTGTTGAATATGTATAGTGATAATGGACGTCTGGAGTCATCATGTGCGTTGTTTAATGCCGTTCCCACCTCTGATGCCGCCTTATGGAATTCTATGATATCTGCATACATTGCCTTCGGATTTCATGCTGAAGCTATAGCTTTGTATATTAAAATGCGTTTGGAAGGCTTAAAAGAAGACAAAAGAACCGTTGCGATTATGTTGTCTTTATGCGAAGATCTAAATGATGGTTCTATTTGGGGTAGAGGCTTACATGCTCATGCCATGAAAAGTGGAATGGAACTAGATGTATTTCTGGGCAATGCATTGTTAAGCATGTATGTTGAGCACAATCAAATTGATGCTGCACAGAAACTTTTTGATAAGACGAGAGGTTTGGACGTCATCTCCTGGAACACAATGATATTAGCACTTGCTCAGAGTAAGTTTCGAGCCAAAGCATTTGAACTCTTTATGACGATGTGTGAATCAGAAATCAAGTTCAATTCATACACAATGATATCTCTCCTTGCATTATGTAAAGATGGAAGTGATTTAGTGTTTGGGCGATCGATCCATGGTTTTGCAATAAAAAATGGTCTTGAAATAAATACTTCTTTGAACACTTCACTGACTGAAATGTACATAAACTCTAGTGATGAAGGATCGGCTACAAATCTGTTTATTAGATGTCCCGAAAGAGATTTAATTTCATGGAATTCCCTAATTTCGAGCTATATAAAGAATGACAATGCAGGAAAAGCTCTATTACTTTTTAACCATATGATTTCTGAGCTGGAGCCTAACTCCGTGACAATCATAAGTATTCTCACATCTTGTACCCAGCTTGCCCATCTACCACTAGGACAGTGCTTGCATGCTTACACAACTAGAAGGGGAGAATCTTTTGAATTGGATGCTTCTCTAGCAAATGCTTTTATAACTATGTATGCACGATGTGGTAAAATGCAATACGCAGAAAAGATTTTTAACACCCTGCAGGCAAGAAATATTGTCTCATGGAATGCCATGATAACAGGGTATGGCATGCACGGTCGTGGACACGATGCTACTCTAGCATTTGCACAGATGTTGGATGATGGTTTCAAGCCAAACAATATATCCTTTGTATCTGTTTTATCTGCCTGCAGCCATTCTGGTCTGACCAAGACTGGTTTGCAGCTTTTTAGTTCCATGGTGCGGGACTTTGGTATTGCTCCTCAACTTGCTCACTATGGTTGTATAATTGATCTGCTTGGTCGTGGGGGCCATTTTTCTGAAGCTATAGCTCTCATCAGCTCAATGCCCGTTGAGCCCGATGCATCAATTTGGAGAGCTTTGCTCAGTTCATGTCAGGTTAAAAGCAATAAAAAACTAGTCGAAACCATCTTTAGAAAGCTTGTTGAATTAGAACCAAGCAATCCAGGGAATTTTGTTTTGCTTTCAAATATCTACGCAGCAGCAGGTCTTTGGTCAGAGGTTTCACAGATAAGAAAGTGGCTTAGAGATAAAGGTCTAGTGAAGCCTCCAGGAACTAGCTGGATTGTAATCGGAAGTCAGGTCCACTATTTCACTGCAACTGACGTATCACACCCTCAATCAGATGAAATTTACGAAAATTTGAATTCTTTAACATCATTGATCCAAGATATGGGCTGAAATTTAGGATTTTTCTGTCATCCACCCAGACATGATTTTATGTGCGTGCATATATGTAGAAGAGGCTGTAAAGAAAATTCATATGTCGAGGTTCACGCCTTACATTATGCTCATGGTTTGCTCTGCTAATCCTAAAAGGAAGATATCTACTCGGCTAGCACCAGGAGAGTATTCCCATGTAACAGAGCCGTTACTATCCAAGTATCCTTTAACTGTTAGTACTTGTAAGCACATTTACTTTATCTTACAAAGATTCTGTTTTTTCAGGAATCCAGTCAACTGAAATTAGTTTCCCTTTGTGAGAGAATTGTTGAGTCGCAGATCGATATTCTCTGATCTTTCCCGAGATGTCTTACAAGAGCACCTGGTAGTGCATAAGGGCTGTACCTGTGGACTGTTCTTGCTGCATTCTTCGTTGCAATCTCCAACTGTCTAAGTTAGTCACTTGCCTGGTTCCACCAACAACAAGATCTAGATTCCTCCAAGAACCGAACCGGTATGTATACTATGTTTTTGTTGTCTCATTATCCTACCTTATTTCCGGGCATGTTGGTTTATCGTGTATAAACTAGCCATTCTACTTGCTGGTACAAATTATGATTTGATATATGACCGTCCATGTGAGATATGTATTCCTTAAGTTATTTCACTGAAAGAGTTCTAAATCAACAACCATGAACCAACACCCTTTACTAATGATTACCACCTTTAACACCTTAACGATGGTGGTGGATCCACAAAATTTCTCTTGAAGATAGTCAATGTAATGCCTGCATAATTTTGCTTTAGAAATTGAGAAATGACTGTCTTTCAAATGGAAGGGTGTTGACATGGAACATGAACTTTTTTACGGTATATGCCTAAACTTGTTGAGTTATACTGAAACCTTGTAAGTAATAGAAACATATTCAATAAGATCGATACTTTTAACATGTATAAGAGGTTGAAAGTATTTACAGTGACAATCTTTTAAATATTGGATATAAGAATTCTTCTTAGTTGATGAAAAATAATATGAATGAGAATTGACTACTAAGGACATGGCCAGATTGGTCGACGTAACTAAAGGAAAAGAAATTAGGAAAAAGAAATAATCTAGTAGCTCCTAGTCAGCCAATCTTCTAAAAGCTCTTGTCGTCTGAAGGCCATATTACAGTCTCCATTAGTCGCTCTCGCATCAACTCCAAGTTCTCGCCTGATATCTCTTTGTATATTTCAGCGTGATCACATCTCTAAGCAATAACACCAAATCATAAGGAATATGTGTTCTTATAATGGCTCCAACAAAGAAATTGTCTTCAAAATACTAATTTGTTCTAACCTTGACCCATTTGTTATAGAGATGAAGTCTTGTTATCATCACTCTCTCAGCCAAATCCTGTTTCTCCTGTTAATCGAACACACGCACATCAAATATCTTATTGTTCAATACTCAATTATTTCATATCCTTGAAGATATGATGTCTTAATCAAGTGAGCTAGGTTCAAGTTGACCGTATTTTGAAAATGGATGTAAAAAAAAAACTAGGAGATTTCTTTACTTCTACCTTTACAAGGGTTCGGATGAAACGCTTCCCATCCCTGGGCTTGTGATTTACAACAAAGCTGTTGGTGTAGAAAAAATGAAAGTCAAGATTAGGTTGGGAAATAGAATATGTTCTGAACACTATTGAGGATAATCTAAGCATTTATATTGGCAGTGTTGATGAATTAAGTTCGTAAAAACTCAAGTGAAAGGCTTCACTTACTTATAAAACCATCTGTATTGGGTAGGGTTCATCTCATAAAGCTGATTTAGAACTGTCTTCACAGCTTTGTATGTGAAATAGTTAAGTATTTGCTGCAAGTAGGAAGCCCCTGTTAAGCTTATAATAATGTTACTCTACTGAAGAAACAGAGGACAAGAAAGAACGATCATAAAATTTAAGCTAGAGAAAGAAGAAGACATCGTAGGAAGCTGAATCAAGTAAGCTGTCTTGTTTCCCACCCCCCCTTGAATGCAGAATGCAAGTCCCAAGAACACTCAACATTAAGGAAACAGAAGAGAACTGGAATTCATGAAATTAAGAAATTTTGCATTGAAGAAGAGAGTCATATCATGTCCATACCATTTTCACATCATCAAAACTCTCCTCGTACTGCCCTGCAAATTCATTGACAACAACAAGCCTCCGATTCCTCCGTTGGTTCCTCCAACGCCGGTGGCCGGTGGCCGAGAGCTGCCACTCGCTGTCGGAGTTGACAAACGAACTTCTCAAATCCACCAACCGAGACACGGCTAAATGACTCTTAGCCTTAGATCTCCTAGGCAAAACCAAATCCCCACGACTTCTGAGACTCGTATTGGTAACCGGCGATGAGTCCAAACACAAACATGGGCACGGCCGCGAGTCGATCACCGGCGCACCCACAGCAAACAAAGCTCCCACCATTCTAAAAAAAGACTCGAAGATCACAATCGTTGAGAGAAGCAGGATTTAGGAAGTGGTACTAAAGCAGTTGAAAATAGAAGCAATAGAATATAAGAAGTGGAAATGGGTGGGGAAAAGGCTTCGGCTTCGGAGAACATGGGATTGGGTCAAAGATTAACCGACCGTGAGAAACTGAAACTTTGAGTATTCAATTTGGAATTGTCCATGATTTTGTTGTTTTCTTTTTTCAAATTACGCATTCCAACTCCCAACTGCCAACTTAAACCAGACAGTCTTCTAAGGTCCTAAATCATCCCTGCAATATGTCCATTTTTCCTAATGAAATGAAAATTTGTACTTTCTTTTTTTCTTAGCTTAATGATTACATGATGAGAGACTTAAAATCGATGATGGTCCACTTGAATATAACTCCTCTAGGAGGTTAAATGTCCATATTTAGCGGTGGTTAAATGTTCATATCTTCTTGTATATTGTTGAATTAAAAAAAGTCATATTTGCTCGACTTAAAACCTAACCAAATTATACATATGCTTGACTAAAAAGTCGATTCTAGTTTTTACCCTCACACACGTTTGATTTTTAACTATTAAAAAAAACCTTTAGCATATATCAAAACGTTATAGTCAACATAATTATCTAAACCATCTCACCTACCAATAATAATTATAGTTATAAATGTTAGGTCCATATTATATTTATTTCAGGAATGTATCGTAATATATACTTAACATGGAAATCGATAAAAGAATTGAGAAAATAGTATTAATATAATTATTAGGCTTTATAAAATGTGGGGTATTTCATTTATTACATTCAAGTGTATTTTGGTAAGAGAAAAAGTTTGATATATTCCAAAAATCCTACCAATAATAATGAAGTATGACATAGAATCCACACCCATTGGGGTTTAAATCAAAGTGGATTTTGCAATTTGTTGAGCTTGTCTTCAAATTCATGGCCCAGCCCGGAACGAAATCGGGGGTAGGGATCCATTGCCACTGAGGCTTAACCGGAGGTTTCACTTCCTCACGCGTATTTACCTTCGGAATTTCGATTCAGCCTTCACAATCCAACTGAAGCTGCGCGGTCGTCAAGGACGAGAACTGGGTATTCCCTATCAGCGCGAACATGTTCTACCGGGGGTAACCTTCCCCTATCTCTATGCTCTAGTTTTTCTTCATTCTTTGTTTCTTTTCTCCGTTAATTCTCACAATTTGACGTCGATTTGGGGCTCTGGGTCCTCTCCTTTTTTTTTTTCATTTTTTTCTCTATCTATCTCCTGTTTGTGCGAGTCTGGTAGGATGATTAGTTGGCATGCTTATATGATTTAGAAGGTTGGGCCATTGAATTGTCATCATTTAGCTATGGGTGTTGGAAACTCTTGAGCTTTTAATGTCTGTTGCCTAATAATACATGAGAGTGTTTTAGAATGAGAAAAATACGCTTAAACTTTTTTACCTGGTGGGAGAGAGATTGGAAATTGAGGAAAGGACAAGAGGACCAAATTAGTTCAACCACCAAAGAAGGCTAAAATGGATCAGTGTGAATCAAAAAGGAAGGATGACTTTAAATACATAAGAAGTGTATTCCATCTAAGGGTATTGACAAAAAATTCAAGTGTTTATGTCGCTCTAAATCTGCCAAAAAGCTGCTAGAAACAGTTGAACCACAATGTTGGCTTCATTCTCAATTTTTGTCCCATGTCTAGTTTAGATATAATGTCAACAATATTAGGAGAAAGAGAGTAACAGCTGAATGAATGTATTAGGAACGGTTTCTAAATTTTTGTCCCATGTCTAGTTTAGATATAATGTCAACGTTGGAGGAGGCCTTTGACATGGTTGATCGCAATTTCTTGGATTTGGTCTTGGAGAAAAAAGGGCTTTGGCCAGAAGGAGGCAAGTGAATGTTCACTTGTAATGACACTACCACATTTTTTATTTTCTCAATGGAAAACCTCATAGTAGAATTGAAGCTTCAAGAGGACAAGTTTTTACCCTACCTTGGTCTCCCGATTCTGCCCACAAGATCCCTTAATACTGCGTGAAAATCAACTATAGAGACAGCTGACTGTCAGGATTGAAGATCCAATGGCCTGGAACCTTGTCTATTGTTCTCCTGGATGAGGAGGTCCTAAACTTTTTAGATATTTCCACATGTGAAACTCCAAATTAAACACATTTAAAAAGTTGCAGGTAAGATTTGTATTCCCTTTTGGTATTAGCAGTTGAGTTAGAAATTGAAGCATCTGGCTTTGTTTTTTCTTGTATATATCTTCTATGTGTTTTGAAAATAGTGAACCTTCCCCACGTTTTATGTATATGGGAAACTTGAAATTGCAGATCTATATTTTTATAGCCAAGAAAGAAGTAGGATGCGCATAGGAGCCATGTCCTCATTTTTAGCATAGAGAAATATTTTTCTTAGATATTCGAAACATTGATTTTTTGATTTCTTAGGATGGGGTATTGACAAGGTTTCCGTTTTTGTGAATTTCATATTTCTGTTTGGACTGAAGTCCATATGCTGATGGTGGTGATGGTCGAGAAATGGGTGCAAAGCGTCAAAGGATAGTTGATCAAGGATCTTCTTATTATGGGACCCCTCCGGGTTCTGGGTTTATGTATAATACAAGTCCCTATGCATGTGTTAGTCAGCCCCCACCATTTCCTGTTGTCAGACTACGGGGTCTTCCTTTTGATTGCATGGAAACTGATGTCGTCGAGTTCTTTCATGGTCTGGACGTAGTTGACGTTCTTTTTGTCCACAAGAATGGAAAATTCACAGGGGAAGGCTTTTGTGTTTTGGGTTATCCTCTGCAGATTGATTTTGCCCTTCAGAGGAACAGGCAAAACATGGGGCGGAGATACGTCGAGGTATTCAGGAGTAATCGACAGGAATACTACAAGGCCGTAGCAAATGAAGTTTTTGATGCATCGGGTGGGTCACCAAGAAGGACTGCACCCAGGTCAAAGTTAACCGACGAGGTGAAAGACTCCGCCGAACACACGGGTGTATTACGCTTGAGGGGTTTGCCATATTCCGCGGGCAAGGATGACATACTGGACTTCTTCAAAGGTTTTATCTTATCAGAAGACTCCATTCATTTAACACAGAATTCAGAGGGGAGACCAAGTGGGGAAGCATTTGTGGAATTCTCAAATGAGCAAGACTCGAAGGCAGCCATGTCCAAGGATAGAATGACCTTAGGTAGCCGTTACATAGAGTTGTTCCCATCATCTCATGAAGAATTGGACGAAGCAATCTCTAGAGGACGGTGACACCACCTATACTTTATTCACTGTTTTTCCTCAATTACTACGTTGTTTTACTTTAGAAAGTGTGAGATTTATGGAGGTAGAAGTGAATAGGAGGCAAGTGTGTGTTGTGTACTCTCCCGAACCATTGTTTGGCAGACGAGCAGGTCGTATCCCTCGACTGCTTGAATTTGTGAAAAGAATTGGTTTAGTAGTATATGGATTGACCATTTCTCTGGGCAGAGATGCTTAAATATCTCAAACTTATGCTTAAAATCTTCAATCCCTCTGTATCTCGATCAAAATTTACAGGTTAGATTCATATGTTGTGGGGTAATGCTGTAGTTGAGGTATAACCTTTGCCATTTTCGTCTTCAAATTAAAGTTGAGAGAAAGAGATTGAAAACTGTATCTGTAGGCAACAATTCATCATATATGCTCTTTCCAAGCTGAAACTTGACAGATTTTCTTTGGATAAAGTTGAAAAAGCCAGAAAATGGTTAAAGGAGAAGGACATGGGGAACGTGGATTAATATAAATTTTAATCAACGTTGTATTAAAAGAATAGCTCTTCCTGTTATCATTTCTATTATAATAATTTACTTCTTATTTGTTGTAAATACGGTAATTATATAATTATTAGGAATTTAAAGTATTGAAGAGCCTACATGATGATAGGCACACAACATATCTATATATTGCTATGATCATGAGAAGTTTCTATAATTATGCAAAACTTTAAAGCAACAAATTTCCCCTTTCAATTTTTAAAAATTCTCAAATAAACAGAGGAATCTTCATAAATAAGTAATTAGTACAACTCAACTCCACCATATGTGTATATATATATGATCTACATTTATGATTATAACCAAATATCACCAGAACAGATTCTATGGCTACAAAGTACAACATTTTTATTTGTTTGCTTCCATCTGCATTTTCTTTGATTATAGCGAGAGATAAATAAATATTAAAATAAATAAACCACATAGAGGGTGGCTTTGGGTTGTGAATTTGATTCCACCACGGGCAGAGGGCAGCCTGTGCCCTAATTTTAAGTCGTCAAATTAGCAGTGCAGTAATCCCAAGAAGACTGCCTAAAAATTTGAACTCCATCTCCCTCCTCTCTCTCTCTCTCTCTCTCTCTCCCTCTCACTGATTATTGCCTCGGGCAGCGGGCAGACTGCCCTGATTATCTCTGTTTATAATCAGCTCGAGATGTGCGCGAACACACTTGTGAAGGTGAACCCTCTCTCTCTCTCTCTCTCTCTCTCTCTCTCTCTCTCTCTAGGGTTTTGTGGGTTTTTGTAGTTCAACCCTTCTCTTTAATGGGCATCCTCCAAAATTCTCTCAAGTCCTTCTCCTTTTAGAACAAATCCCTTCTAAAGCTCTAGTCTTTGCAGAACCCCCATTTTCTGAACCCTCTTGCTTTACCCCCCAACAAAAAAGGTTCAATTTTGTTTCCAAACGTCGTTGTTTGTTGTTTGTTCCATTTGGCTTTTGCCTCTTCTTTTTCCCCCCCAGAGGCAAGTTCCTCTGCCCCTCTCAATCGACCCTTTTGAAAGTACCTCCTACAGAGTTCAAAACCCCCCTTCAAAATGGCCCCTTCTGGAGGCAAAATGGCCACGAGAACCAGAGCAAATTTACCCAACTTGAAGCTAAACAAGAAAATCAAGAAGACGAAGAAGCAGCAGCAGCAGCAGCAGCAAAAGCTGAAGCAGATTCCAGCGGTGATACCAAACGACGCCGTTCATTTCACCGACGACTGTTCTGACATCGACGGCGGCTGCAGCACTCCAAAAGCAGAGAGATTCAGAATCCCGGAGATTCTAACGTGTCCACCGGCGCCGAAGAAGCCAAGACCCGCATCGGATTGCTCATTACGACGATCGCCCATTGCCTTTTTTGCTCCTCCAGAATTAGAGCTCTTCTTCTGCGCCTTGCCGGTGCCTGACATTTCAGTCTGAGGCCAAAAGCTAACTAATCCTCGTGTGTTTATACAAATTTTACAGATATGAATCATCAAAAAATACCAAGTTCTTCTTTTTCTCGTCTCTTTTGTTAGATATTAGTTTGAATAAGTTTGCCCCTTTTGTGTGAGAATTTGAGCTTGGAGATGCAGATTTTCAAATTAGGTTTGCTCTGTAACATTATTATTATTTATATATATATATATATATATATTTTGGGAATTTGAGCTGTGTATTGTAGGGTTAGTTTGTCCTTGCCCCACAACTTCCCCTCGTGATAATTTCAACCAATGCCTCACTTTATTTCCAAGTGTGATGAAAAGGGTCAAGGTGGCTGCCATTTTCATGGTGCTCTGTTTCGAAAGCTCCACCCTTTCTTTATGGGTCTAGGGTTTATGGCAGTTATGGTATGGTGCATATTCGTAGAGAACGAGGTATGAGGATGATGAGAAAGTGAAACGGCGTCGTGTTAGGCAGCAGAAGGCTGCTGTGACGCAGGACTTGTGCTTCCCTTTCCTCCCTACATTCCACTTGTAGAGAACCCAACACTTCCCCAAATTTCTTACATTTTCCACGTGGACTTTCTGGAATTACCACAACGAATTTGAAAACCAAGATCCTTAAATACAAAATAAATAAGTAGTAAGCTAAAAAGTAGTTTTGTTTTTACCTTTTCAAATTTATCTTTTTACCTTTGGATTACAAACATATCAAATACTAGAAATAATAATAAAAACCCCTCTCCCCTCCCCCTTCTTCTCCCTCTTTTTACCATTTTGTTTGAGCTAATGTTGGATTATAGGGGTGACGTGAGACAACAGAATTATTTATTTTTCTATTTTTTATGATTCTCGTTAAATTAAATTCATATTGTTTAGAAGTAACTTAAAGTTTATAAGAAAATAAAATGAAAATGATTAGAAAATGATGAATTAGATTTGATAATTGAAAGAATTATAGTAATGAAGGGCGAGCGGGTAATGAATTATTATTATTTTTCATATGACTTTGTCCCAACTCAGAAAACTAACCTCATCCAAAACAACGTAAGAGAATCCAATGAACCAACTCGTGCGGCTTCCGAATCACTGTCTCAAAAATAAGGTTTTACCAAAAGGAATCTCATCATTTTTTTTTCTTTTTTCAAATTATTCATTTTTCTTCAATAAAAAAAAAAAAAAAAAAAAATATATATATTGATGAAACTATGGAAGCCCCACATGTGTTCTTGGCACAATCTTTTAGAATCTGCTGGAGCTTTAAGGAAATAAAAAAAAAAATATATGGGAAAGGACAGTTTTGGTTTGATGAAGAAGTTGTCTTTAAAATGATGTGTTTTTTTTTTTTTCCCTTTTTTTCATTTGTAAGTATTTAATTTAGCTTGCCCTTCCCTTTTATTTCCGTTATTATTTTAGTGTTTTCTTAAGCTTTTCTTTTAATATAAATTATAAGTAATATACAAAATAAAAAAGAAAAGTAGCACGACAATTTAATGGGCTTAAACCAGCTCAAAGTTTAAAATTTTAGAGGGTCATTATTTTTAAAACCGAGATATTTTCCACTACTAGCCAACATTTATACCTTTACATATTTTATAATGATACAATTAACACCAACTCAAAATGAACAACAATGTACAAATATTACTACACATTTTAAAAAATGAAGCTAGGCAGCTTCCTAGGGGCCAACCACATAAGATAATATAAAATAAAATAAAAATAAAAATAAAAACTCCTAAGAATATATGCACATGTGATTGCATTGGGAAATGCTTGTATTTAAGCTATCAAAGTGTAATATATAATATAATTAGAAGGATTAGACACTAATTATTGATTGAGTTAAGGAAACTGTGAGTTTTGAGTTTAATGTAGGGAGCTTTTTGTAATATTTCCATTAATAATAATGGAGACATTATAATTAGATTGGAGAGTGGGAATTAACCCACCCGGCCATGCCAACTCTTTCTTTAATCATGCCTTCTTTTTCAAAAGCTAAAACCTACGTTTTATAAATACTTTTATTATATTTTCTTATTTTATTTTTAAAAAACATCTTATGCAATTTTATATTTTTACTAAATATACATCATATTAAACTATTGAATACTCTTATTGTTTTTTGTTTTATCATTTAAAACTATAATTTTTTTACTTTAAATCTAAAACTTTGCATAAAAAAAAATGATATATTATTTATAATTCATTTCAATTTATAAATACCCTTTCACAATAATGTGATTTTTTATTGAATATAATAAAATGAAAACTAAAACAATTACCATCGGTAATTAGTAAAAATATAGCATACGGGGAATCTTATTAAACACTTGATCGAGCGGATGGATGAATTTTTTTTGTTTTGTTTCGAGGAAAATTTTGGATTAAGCTTGTCCTTTATACTTTGATGTTTCAAATTGGTCTAATGAATCAATCTAATCAATTTATATATATATATATATGATCATGTTCCAACTTTTGAGGAATCCGAGGATGTCCCAAAGGGTTATTTTTAGGAAAACAAATTTGGTTCTTCTTTTCCTTTCGAGTCAAAATATTTACAATTTTATTTGTTCAAATATAATTCTTAATTTATTTAAACATACAAATACAAAATAAAAAATCAAATATAATGGTAATACTTTAATGAGTTGAGGTACAAAGACTGGGTTGACAATCTCGTATTAACACGAGATGAAGTTCAAGTGAATTATGGTGAATGCCTATGTTCAAACGAAATCGACCCATTAGAAACATGAGTGGCAGCTTTTAGGGTTTGTAGAAAAATCTGTGGCAGCTTTCTGTGTAACTTTGTTTAGAGGATTTGCAGAAAGCAAAGCAATATGGGAGAGACCAACTCTTTGCTCCCCAAAGCTTTTGGTTGTGATACACTTATTTCTATTTGCTTTCCCTTCTTTCTTTCTTTTGACCATCTAAATCATTCCCTACTTCTCTTTTATCCTACATCCCACTTTCTCACTCCCATCCCATTTTCAACGTACTTAATTTACTTAAATCGCGATTATAATTAATTTACTTATTTACGAACTAAACGGTGAATAAACTCGTTCTCCTTTCTTTCTTTCTAACTTTCTTCCTTTGCTTCACCATATTCAAATTAAGGGACGTTTATTTCTTTAAGAAAAGGAAATAAAGAGAGACAATTGGAAAGTTGGGCCTGATAAAGCGTGAAAGCTATTGTTTGCGTACGGGCCTGGCCCATTTCGTACGTACGGGCCTGGCCCACATTCCATCTTCGCTCTCCTAGTCCACAATTCAGCGGGTCAACGATGAAGGAATAGCTACATCCATATGATTTATAAGAGAAATAGTGAAATTAGCATTAATCAATTACAACTCAAAGTTGGGCTTCAATAATTAGGCATCATCTTTGCTTGAACCCTTTGGGGGCTTCCTAGTGCACCCCAATCATGGTTTTTAGGTACACCAATGCAAGCTTATCCGAACCACACTAAACTTGAGCCACTTATATGCTGCCACGTGTCATGCAATCGATTCTTAACCCTATTTGTCCGTACACACCTACTTTTTTTTGTTTTCATGAACTTGGGTTATATGGAATCCATGACTAAGAGTTGGGTGGCATGTCAAATAATTTGTTGGGAGCCTACAGTGATATCATTACCTGAAGGTGATAGAAGAGATTTTTGGGAGATCAGGAACAAATCTTGAAAACAAAGATGCATTAAGAATACTTGGGATACGTGGCATGCGCTGCTGTCGCTACTTTAACGATACGGTCCCCACTTTTGCGCCAAGCGCTTCCCGGGCTTTGCACGTCAAGTGCGTGTCACGTACGTCAAAATATATTATCCCAATTTCCGCCTTTTATCCTGAAAAACGAATTTCCATAACCTTACCCACCCACGTCAACTGGGAACCTGCTTTAGCCGCTTCACTCGGCTCACAGGCATCGACTTAGATAGCCTAGTTCGAAACTGGAAGGGGAGGTTGCCGGTGGAAGACTAGCTCGAACTGAAGTCGGGTCCCGCAGTGAGTAAGGGAACTGTAGCCGTGTTAAATAAAAGCTCTGCCTTATTTAGTTAGGTTTGTAAAAAAACATATGAGTTCACGCGAATGGAGGAGCGTGATTCTAGGGGCCATTGTTTTGGCAGAGTGGCGGAGTCTTCGTCCACTTATTCTATTTGTGTATATTTGGTTTTTCTATTTTTGTAATTAGATTTATTATTTAAACCATTCAACGGATGTAAAATAAAAATATCGAGTCTTCAGCATTACCAGCGAATCTCTCTCTCTCTCTCCTTTTACTTCCGCTAATTTTTCCTTCGAAGAAACCTTCGGCCAATTTTTTTTCGTCGACATCCGATTTGCCAGAGTCAACAAGTGGTATCAGAGCCTGGTTGAAGCGATCGGTAGTATACCATCACAGAAGAGCCAACCTATCAACAATCAAGTTGAATAGCTCAAGTGGTTAGAGCGTCGATCTAATAACACACAGGTCTTAGGTTCGAGTAGAAGAAAATGCAAAGCACAAAAATAAATACATTGTGGGGCCCATCTCAAGCAGGCTCGCTCACTCCTCCATGCCGCCAAGTGCCGGCATCTCCATCACCACCACGAAGAGGCCGTGGCCGACATCGTGATGACGGGCGTCGAGTAGTTGTTGAGCGAGTGATCAGAGAGACAACGACCGCCGTCGTTCAGTACCCGATGTTGACAAGGTCCAACTACAACGAGTGGGCCTTGTTGATGCGTGTTAACCTACAGGCGCAAGGGTTATGGCACGCTGTCGAGCCAGAGGAAGGAGAAACAATCGAGTACCGGGAGGATCGGCTGGCGTTCGCCGCCATATTACGATCTGTGCCCCCAGAGATGCTGGCTTCTCTTTCCACCAAGCGCACCGCACAATCGGCCTGGGAGGGAATCAAATCCCGTCGGGTCGGTGTACAGCGAGTGCGGGAATCCAACATCGAGCAACTGCGAAAGGAGCTCTCGGAGATTCGCTTTAAGGACGGCGAATCCGTCGATGATTTTTCAATGCGGATCACGGGGCTCGCCAACAGCATCACCACCCTCGGTGGTGGCATCAGCGAGACAGAAATCGTGAAGAAGATGTTGCAGGTCGTCCCCGATCACCTCGAGCAAGTCGCGATTTCAATCGAGACATTGCTTGACGTGAACGACCTAACAGTGGAAGAGGTGACCGGAAGACTACGTAACGTCGAGCAGCGGAAGAAGAATATCACTTCAGCTGTTGACAAGGAGGGCCGTCTACTCCTCACGGAGGAGGAATGGCTTGCACGCCTAAAGCTCCGCGACAACACCGGCGAGAGCAACGGGTCCTCCTCCAGCCGCAAAGGCGGTAAGAAGCCATGGATGTCCCACGGGCGCACGCGCGGGAAAGATGAGAATCAAAAGAAGGAGTCGACCAATGGCAGGCCGATCCATTGCTCGAACTGTGGGAAGAGAGGACACCTGGGCAGAAATTGCTGGAGCAAGCTGAGGAATAAGGAGAAGGCCGAAAAGGCCCAGGCCCATGTGGCTCAATCCGAGGAGGACGAGCCAGCTCTCTTCATGGTAACCGCATGCGTCCCCAATTTCGATTCCAACTCCGACGACGATCTTGAACCCAAGAAAGAGCTCCAGTTGGGCGTAGCAAAGCTGGCACCAACTGGGGAGCCAATTCAACTGGAGGAGGAGCGAGTGTTCGCTCAGATCGGCGAAAGGGACGAGCAACACGAGCACCAGCAATGGATCCTTGACACAGGGGCAACAAACCATATGACCGGGGCTAGATCTGCGTTCTCCGAGCTCGACTCGGGGATCCGTGGGACGGTGAAATTCGGCGACGGCTCCGTCGTCGAGATCGAAGGGCGCGGCACCATCCTGTTCGTCAGTAAGGGAGGCGAGCATCGCAAGCTGACCGACGTCTACTTCATCCCGAGGCTCAAGGCTAACCTTGTGAGCCTGGGTCAGCTCGATGAGACAGGCTGCTTCATTTCCATCGAGCGCGGACTACTGAAAATCTGCGATAATCAACGACGGCTGCTCACGCAGGCAAGACGAACCACAAACCGTCTTTACATCCTGGAGTTAGAGATAGACCAACCCGTTAGCCTCTCGGCCAAGACCGAAGAGGTATCTTGGAGGTGGCACGCAAGGTACGGACACTTAAACTTTCCTGCCCTAGAAAAGTTACAGAAGAAGGAGTTGGTGCACGGCTTGCCAGAAATCAAAGGCGTGAACAAGCTGTGCGACGGGTGCCTCATCGGCAAACAGAGGCGCACACCCTTTCCGTCTCGAACAGCCTACCGAGCCGATGAGCCATTGGAGCTTGTACACGGCGATACTTGCGGGCCCATCAAGCCGGCGACCCCAGGCGGTAAGAGTCTCTTTCTCCTGTTAGTCGATGACAAAAGCCGCTTCATGTGGCTGACTTTGCTGCAAGCGAAAAGTGAGGCGGCAGAGGCGGTTAAGCGCATTAAAGCGCGAGCGGAGGCCGAATGTGAGAAGAAGATGCGAGTGCTGCGCACAGACCGTGGCGGAGAATTCACCTCGGCAAGTTTCAGTAAGTACTGCGATGAGGTCGGCATACAACGGCACCTAACGGCGCCCTACTCCCCCCAACAGAACGGAGTGGTAGAGCGCCGAAATCAGACCATTGTCGGGACAGCGAGGTCATTGTTGGTGACGGCCGGGATGCCTGGGAGATTCTGGGGAGAGGCAGTAATGACGGCTGTCTATCTCCTCAATCGGTCACCAACCCGAAGCCTCGACGGGAAGACGCCATATGAAGCCTGGTACAACAAAAAACCAACAGTACATCATTTTCGCGTGTTCGGCTGCGTCGCATACATGAAGGTAACACGTCCCCATCTCGCCAAGCTCGATCCCAGGGGGCTGAAGGTCGTCTTCATCGGCTACGAACCCGGGAGCAAGGCGTACAGACTCTATGATCCTGTGGGGGGGCGAGCTCACGTGTCTCGCGACGTCGTCTTCGACGAAAGCACCTTCTGGCAGTGGAATGACGTGATCGAGGCAGACCGTAATCCAAATCAATTCACGGTGGAGTACCTCGTCACTGAGCCTGAAGAAGGAGGAGCCCAGCATCAGGAGACGTCACCGCCGCCAGCAGGTGCACCACCTGAACCAGTGGAATTCGCAACACCACGGACTGCGGATTCGACGCTGGATGCCGATCACGATACTGATCTGGAGGCTAGGTACCGGAGGATGGATGACCTAGTGGGAGGAGGTGAACCACCTGGACTAGCAGCGCGCGAGCTCGAGGAAGTGGCCGAACTACATGCCGTCAGTGCAGATGAACCAAACACCTTCGCCGAAGCAGAAAAGAACCCGTGCTGGCGGAAGGCAATGCAGGAGGAGATGACATCCATCACTGAGAACCAGACGTGGAGTCTGGAGGATATGCCACCGGGACACCGAGCCATAGGGCTCAAATGGGTCTTCAAACTGAAGCGCAACGAAAAAGGAGAAGTTGTGAAGCACAAGGCTCGTCTGGTGGCGAAGGGCTACGTCCAGAAGCAAGGAGTGGATTTCGAAGAGGTATTTGCGCCAGTAGCAAGGTTAGAATCCGTTCGTTTCCTGCTGGCAATTGCAGCACATCACTCTTGGGAGGTTCACCATATGGACGTAAAGTCTGCTTTCCTTAACGGAGAGTTGAAGGAGACCGTCTATGTTCGACAACCACCTGGCTTCCTGGATAACGACAACCCTAATAAGGTACTGCGCCTGCACAAAGCACTCTACGGGCTTCGACAAGCCCCACGAGCCTGGAACGCGAAGCTCGACAGTACCCTACTGTCACTGAATTTCAAACGTTGTGCCTCTGAGCATGGCATGTACACGTACGGCCACGGCAAAAAGCGACTGATCGTGGGAGTGTACGTCGACGACCTCATAATCACTGGAGGCGACGTGGGAGTCCTCGGAAGGTTCAAGAAGGAGATGTCGAAAAACTTCGAGATGAGCGATCTCGGTGTGCTCAGCTACTACCTCGGCATCGAAGTGCAACAGAACTCTTCCGGCATCTCCATCTGCCAAAGTGCATACGCGAGAAAGCTGCTGGACACAACTGGGCTTGTGGACAGTAATCCTACCAGGACGCCAATGGAGGCCCGACTTCAACTAAGGAAGGCCGGCACTACGACGACAGTCGACTCCACCAATTACCGCAGCATTGTCGGGAGTCTGCGCTATCTGGTAAACTCTCGTCCTGATCTTGCTTATTCTGTTGGATATGTGAGTAGGTTTATGGAAGCACCTAGGGAGGAGCATCTAGTGGCTGTCAAGCGCATCCTGCGCTATGTAGCCGGAACCAGAGACTGGGGCGTAAGATACTGCGCTGGGAGCGAAAAGGAGAAACTCAAACTGGTCGGCTACAGCGATAGTGACATGGCCGGTGACGTTGATGATCGTAAGAGCACCAGCGGAATGATCTACTTTCTCTCAGGCGGCGCGATCTGCTGGCAATCAACAAAACAGAAGGTAGTTGCTTTGTCTTCCTGCGAAGCAGAATACATCGCCGCTTCGATGGCAGCAACTCAAGGGATCTGGCTTGCACGACTAATGGAAGAAATCATCGGGAGAGAAAGCGATCCACCAATGCTATACATAGACAACAAAGCTACGATCTCCCTGATCAAAAATCCAGTTTTGCACGACCGGAGCAAGCACATAGAAATCAGATTCCACTACATTCGAGAATGTGCAGATCGAGGGCTCATCAAAATTGATTTCATCCGAACAGAGGAACAACTTGGAGACATTTTCACCAAATCCCTGGCGCGGGTGAAATTTGAAGAACTACGCTCAAAGATCGGAGTTCAAATAATAAGGTACAGCTTTTAGGAGGAGATTGTTAAATAAAAGCTCTGCCTTATTTAGTTAGGTTTGTAAAAAAACATATGAGTTCACGCGAATGGAGGAGCGTGATTCTAGGGGCCATTGTTTTGGCAGAGTGGCGGAGTCTTCGTCCACTTATTCTATTTGTGTATATTTGGTTTTTCTATTTTTGTAATTAGATTTATTATTTAAACCATTCAACGGATGTAAAATAAATATATCGAGTCTTCAGCATTACCAGCGAATCTCTCTCTCTCTCTCCTTTTACTTCCGCTAATTTTTCCTTCGAAGAAACCTTCGGCCAATTTTTTTTCGTCGACATCCGATTTGCCAGAGTCAACAAGCCGTAGCTCTTCAATTTGAGTTCCCAAAAGGGTCTTTGCTTTCGCACTCTACTTACACTGCTCTCTCTTAAGTATGAGAATCGTTGAAGAACTGGATTGAGTCTTCCATTTCTCTTTCTGTTTCTCTCTTTTCTGAGATTCCGAGTGGTTGCGTCCTGAATCTACGGCTTTGGATTTCCAGAATTTTCCCTCCAAGTGAGTTCTTCTCTTCGTCTGACTTGACTTTGCAAGATTTTGGTTCCTTTTTCTTCTCTTTCTCGTGTATCTGATGTTACTCCAGGGTTTTCTCAATCCAGTTCTTTCTCTTCCCTTTTTTGGGTTCTGTTTATTCTTGTTGCATGAAAGCGCGCCGGTTTGAGTTTCTGGATTCATGCGACTAGGATTTCGGATTTTGGATCACTAGAGTGAAAAATTTCAACAGGTGGTGTTCCTATGTTTAGGGAAGGGAGTGGAATTGGGATCTTGATAAGATATTTAGAAGTCGTAAGTTTGGGGATTTTTTTTCTTATTTTTTAGGATTGAACTCGCGCCGTCGTATTCAGTTTTGCTCCTCCATCTGTCCCATCTTTTGGCATTGGGTTCTGTTCGTTGTCTGCATGTGGGGATTATGGTTCGTACAGTCCTTATTGGCGGAATTTTGGTTGGAATATCGGTCGGCCAAATATCGAAGTGAACGTTTTCTATAGAACGCTATTAGTTACCCTTGCCCTTGCGTGTGGATCATTAATAAGCTGAACTGAAATGCTAAAGAGAACTTATTTAGTACAAGATATTAACTATGATTTGATATTTGGGTGGAGCGTTTTAGGATGATTCATCAATATAAGCCTGCCACTTTTTCCCCTCTCGTTGTCATTTCTGAGTTGTGGTTGGAAGAGTGATAGAAAAAGGTCGCCTATGATAATTTATAGTCTAGCAGGGAAATAAATCGAGCACCAAAATAGGATACGACGGTGGAAATAGATAACTGAAGTTGTTTTGAAACTTGTATGGAAATAAATAGAGCTCCGCTCAACATTACGGGAATTGGTTTATGATTTGAATTATAGATCGTGGATGATCTTGGCTTTCCGTTGAGTTTGTTGGATACGCTGCACTTCTGTCTCTTCAAAATTGAAAATCTACGAGTTCCAAGTTGTGTCCGAAATTATGCAATTGCAAAATAAGAACTTTTTTGGTTTCTGTCTCTGTTATCATAGAACTCAATTGATGATAAGTAAACAACTTAGCTTGGAAGATCTGAAGGAATTAATTAAAGGTGTAGAGCATTTTACTTCCAATTTGGTGATAAGCCTAGTCAAGCGGAAAAATGAGCAGTGCTCTGCACAAGGATTGGATATAGTTGAAGTATGCTCTGGGAAAGAGTTATGTAATCATAATTGGAAGGAAATAAAAAACGTAGTTGTTCGATAAGGATGACACTTGCTTGTTCTTGAGGTTAAGCTTTTCTTTGTGATTATCTCCTAGCCTTTCCCTCTATTTTCTCTCAGCTTCCTGACTATTAAACCGCCCTCCAATTTGACAGAAAACCATTGCCTCCCTCATCTCAGACCATTTAATTTAAAACTGTAAGCAAAACTGCTTCAGTTGGCTGGTGAATATTTTTCTTTTTAATTTCCTTCTCTCACACGTGTTATTTTAAACCGAAGGAATCAAACAATTTCCCCTTATCTTGAGAAAAGAATAATGAGCATGGACGATTTCTAAGGTTTTCAAAATGAACGATGCTTCGTGGTTCCTCTTTTCCTTTTGATGTCTTCTTTCCAGTGCTTTTATCTTAGGGTGACGGCTTGTTCTCTGTTTATCCAACATTTATTTTGCATGGCCTATGTATTCTAGTTGACTCCATCCTTTTATCTTATCTAACATATATACTTGCGAAGAAGATATGCAGTCAAAGCCTAGAAGTGTGAATCAACTAGAATCTGAACCACCAAATATGCAGCAGACTAGTAGTTATTCTGAACCTTGGTGGCGTAGTATTGGATACAATCATATATCCTCGCCAGCAGCAGGAGGAAATTTGTCCAATTCAACATCACTGGAATGTCCTAATGGTGCCTCAGAATCTAATGACGGACCGTCAATGTCAAATGATGATTTGAATGAAGATGATGATGATGACACCACAAAAGATTCACATGGTATGGGCCTCTAACTTACCTGCTTACTAAATCATGTTATTGTTCAAAGTAAGGCACTTATTGTTTTTAGCCTCCTTCGTTATGAGCTGGAATTAGTGCACATGATGTTGAAAACTGAGGACAATATAACCTTATTGGATTGTTAACGAACATGTTATTATCAATTCAGCTGTAAGTTATGGGCAAGTACAGAACAACTGTCAGCATGCTGTTTCTGCTGCACCTACAGTGCATGGTGGATGTATCACACAACCTCCTCAGCTTGAACTTGTAGGCCACTCTATTGTGAGTTCATTTGCTAGTCTGGTTTTTTCTACTTTATAGATGTCCTTCTGACTCTCAGTGTCCAGTTTTTTAATATTGAACAACATTGGTTTCTTGAAACATCATATTTAAGATGCTTTTAAATTATGTGGGATTACTAGTTTATGTTGATCTTTTTCAGGCATGTGCATCAAACCTATATCAGGATCCTTATTATGCTGGAGTGATGGCTGCCTATGGGCATCAACCGGTATGTGGGTTAAGAAAATAAAAGATCAGATGATGATATGTACACATATATATGTATATCTTACTGGTAATTTTTGAACCATGTTCACAATTTTTGTAATTATATTTTAGCCCTGGGTAAACTTGATGGTACTATATCTTTTGCTTCACTTTTTTTTTTTTTTTTCTTTTGCTTTACCTTTTCAATTATTCAGGAACTTCATTGTTATTCCTTGTCCATATTTTCACTTTCTCAAACTATCTCAGGTACAATAGCATGTGAGTATCTAATGAACTAACTGAAAATTTCCAGTTTCTTGGAAGAGGTTGTCGTATGATTATTATAGTATCTTGGCCTGGAATTATTTATTTCTTTTTTCTTGGCCACAATGACAAGGTCATACGTCAAGGATGTTTGAGATCATTGTGGATGTAAACATTTTTTTGGGATACGAAAAATTGAAATTTGCCTCTGACAAGTCCTTATGGTAGGGTTATCCTCCTTTTCTTGGGATGCCGCATGCTAGAATGGCTTTACCTCTTGAGGTGACACAGGAACCTGTTTTTGTGAATGCCAAACAATATCAAGGGATCCTAAGGCGAAGACAAGCACGTGCTAAAGCAGAGGTTGAGAACAAACTGATAAAAATTAGAAAGGTACAACTGCTATTCAAATAATCGTGTTTCATGTACTACAGCTTGTCTATTATACATGTTTAAGTAGCTGGGAATCTAACAACGCCTTTTTAATTGTGTTTTACTCTTATTGAAGTTCATTCTTTCCTATGCTGTAAATTTGATTTGGTACTTGCAAAATTCTTTACCGAGTACTTTTTCATCTGTTTAATGACCATAAACATAACATGTGAGTGAAGGGCAACTAAAAAATTATTTAGCTGTGCTGGACAGTGCAGTGGATGTACTCACATTGGCTTTTTAAAATAGGTATAAGGTTAGTACCATCACCCATATGAATTACCAGGTCGTATCAAGACCTTACAAGACTGATAAAAAGATTTGAAGGAAAGATGTAATGTTGCATTGTGATTATTGTTTTGCAAGACCAGAGCATGTCAACTGAAGGTAAAGGTATAATAAACTTTCTCCATTTAAATCACAACTGATTCAGGGATCAAGACATTTAAGTTTTTAATTTGACTTCTGAGCCTTCATTTACATTTCACTTTGGGTGTTGGGGTGACCAGGGATGGTGGACTCACTAATTCAAGTTGAGTTATACTGAGTCAAAGCTGGTCGTTCATGATTTCTTGTTGCTGTATAGCTTATAATAGATAATTCATTGTTCTTTGAGACAAATATGGCTTGGCTGACTCAGACTCATTTCTGAATATTGTTCTATATGTGTGTGCGCTCGCATGAGCCATGGTCAGATTAGAAACATCAGATGTGATTGAGAGTTGGACAGGTCATTTGGCTGGTTGGTGGTTCTGTATGATCGAAGAGTGATGATTGTTCACTCTCCATTTTATTCTTCTTCTTTCCCGTTTGAACAATTCTTTTAGTATAGCCTATATGCAGGTTTGTATGTTTCTGAAGTTCCTCCAATATTTAGCTTGTATTTTATGCTACACAGCCCTATCTTCATGAATCTCGTCACCAGCATGCCATGAGACGGGCAAGGGGTAGTGGAGGACGATTTGCCAAGAAAAATGAAGTTAATTCTTCGAGTTCTACTGTGAAGAACAAGGACTCCGGTTCTGGTCAAGCTTTCTCGTCGCACTCTGCTGGTTCATCGGGTTCTGAAGCTGCGCCTTGTGCCTTGGCGGAAACCTGGAATTCTTCCAATGGCCAACAAGAAGCGAGGACGCAGTTGCATGAGGCGTATGAAGCTCGAAGTTATGTGAATGGCAGTGGACAATTTCATAATTACAGTAGCTTCCAAGCTTCCTCGTATGCTTTACGGTCTGGTGAGAGAGGTGATGATGGAGACTGTTCGGGACAGCAACGAGGAAGCATCTCAGAAAATCAGGCAGCACAGAGGCGTCTTGCCATCAAGTGAACCTCCTGGTTGCGAAAATATGGGGGTCCCCTAGGCTATCTACGGGCTACATTCCCTGGCAGTTTTCTGCCAGGCGGCAAATCATTCTTGGCTTTGTTCTGGTGCTTGTTGCTTGATCGTATAGGAGATGGGATGATATAAGTTGGCCATTTGGGCCCTTATTCTGGTTAAGTCCTTGGCTGCTTTATTCCAACCTCTCCCATTTTTAACTTGTGTATAGAACAGACTCCATAGATTTCAAACAGTTTTCCTTTTTAATTTACAAACACCTTGCTAGATCGAATGCTTAACTGTTATGTACTTGTGTGTGTGTCGAAGGATTGAACTTTGATCCACGATTTGGTTGCAAATTTATGTCCCAAGTTTTCCCGGTTTCAAATATGTTTCTTTGCTATTATATGAATCCGGATTTCAGCACCCACTGGGAATACTGGAAAATGATCTAAACCTGTGGTAGCTTATTCAAGGTGAGCTGTCGTTTGAACCAAATGAAATTACTTGGACACCACTTTAGTTGATCTTGGGTCGGTTCCCCGTTTCAACCAATAAAAATGCTTATTTGATTGCAGGTTCCAGGTTCCACTATGCTTGATTTGTGTTGTGAAGGGTTCCTTCTGGAAATGAATGGATACTGATTTCATTTTGGAACTGTGAATGAAATATATTAAATTCAAGCTGTCTTACCAACAATTATTTGATCAAACGCACTTTTGCTGATATTTTGGTGATAGAGATTTGTTTCTAAAATGCCTTATAATACACAGTCATTTTTCAAATTAATAAAAGTACAAACTTCGAATAATATTTATTATTTGGCTACTTTTATTCTAGAATTCGAATAGATAGATGCATTGAATGTAAAGTTAACCGGATAAAGAAGTCACATTTTCCTACTCAGCTTGAATTGAAATGATATTTTTATTTGGCAACATAAAAACTATCATTAGGCGACAGGGACAGTGATGATTGAATTCCTCGAATGAAATGATACTTTCTTTTTAATTTATTTCTTTTTCTAATGGTATTGGATAATGAGTCATTTATATGACTTAGACCCACCAACAAATATTATTTTGCTGAAATGCAATGATTATTGTAATAATCTCTTGAATTCAGTTGGGAATAGAGAAATGGCCTCGTGGATTGAAAAGGAGGGAAGAGGTGGGGGAGGAAGGTCTCGTTTGCCTTCCGTCTTGGTGGAATCCAAGAGTGGAAGAAGAAGAAGAAGAAGAAGAAGAAGAATTTCTTGGAGGAGAAAGAGAGACTCTGAAACTCAATCTATCAATGCCGCCTTCCCGTTCTTGAGATACATCTTTCTCCTTCAGATTTCAGATTCAAAGCCCTCCAATTCTCCCCTCGCCTCAACTTCTCCGGTTATTCTTCTCAATGTCGTTGTGATTCCTCTTTTTCAACTGAAAATTTCAGGTGGGGGTTTTCTTTAATAGCATTTTAATCTCTCAATGGGAAATACAATGTCTAGGCCATGTGGGATTGTCATGAAAATGAATAGATATCTCTCTCGGTTTACTTTTCATTGTTTAGAATGCCCTGGATTAGGTGCCTGTTCTGTTCTCTGAGAAATTGTGATATCTTGTGCAAGTTTTCGATTATCTATCTATCTCAGATTCTCAGCTTGGTCCGTATTGTTTGTAAATAAAGCTTTGGATCTTGGCTTGTATTTTGGTGTTGTTTATGAATCTCTACTTTTATTTATGTTTTTGACCCTTAATATATTTGCTTGATGGGTCTTGAAATGTCTCAAAAGGTCGGAGCATTTTGACATTTCTGGATCTTGCCCATGGGTAATTGCTGTGCTACTCCTGTTTCTCCTTCGGCTAAGCCTAAAGGTAAGCACAAGAAGAAGTCCTTTCCATTTTCTTGTAAGGGTAGTAGGAGCAATGTGGTTGGTGCTGATAACAAGCTTCAGGTGTTGAAAGCTCCAACTGGTCATGACATTTCGGCTCATTATGATCTTGGCCGTGAGCTTGGTAGAGGTGAATTTGGTGTAACATATTTATGCACAGATACTAATACAGGTGAAAGTTTTGCCTGTAAATCTATATCAAAGAAGAAACTTAGGACTGCTGTTGATATTGAGGATGTGCGAAGAGAGGTTCAAATAATGAAGCATCTCCCCAAGCATCCGAATATTGTTACGCTGAAGGATACTTATGAGGATGATGAGGCAGTTCACATTGTGATGGAACTGTGCGAGGGTGGGGAGTTGTTTGACCGAATCGTTGCGAGGGGGCATTACACAGAGCGTGCAGCGGCTGCTGTTATGCGGACAATCGTTGAAATTGTTGAGGTGAAAAGAAAATGCTGGTTAACTTTTAAACATGGCAGAGTTTTATTTTCTTGTAAGTTTAGTTTAGTTGGAATATGTCGTAAGCTGGCATTTGTACGTCTATTGTTGTAACAGTTCAAGTCAACCACTAGCAGATATTGACCTCTTTGGATTTCTCTTTCGAGTTTCCCCTCGAGGTTTTTAAAACGCGTCTGCTAGTGAGAGGTTTCCACACCCTTATAAAGAATGTTTCGTTCTTCTTCCCAATTGATGTGGAATCTCACAATCCACTCCCTCCCCCTTCAGGGCCCAGTGTTCTCACTGGCACTCGTTACCTTCCCCAATCAATGTAGGACCCCTCAATCCACTCCCCTTCGGGACCCAGCGTTCTTGCTGGCACAACGCCCTGTGTCTGGCTTTGATACCATTTGTAACAGCTCAAGCCCACCACTAACGGATATTGTCTTTTTTGGGCTTTTCCCTTCGAGCTTCCCCTTAAAGTTTTTAAAATATGTCTCATAGGGAGAAGTTTCCACACTCTTATAAAAAAAGCTTCATTCTCCTCCCCAACCGATCTGGGATCTCACAATTGTATTTGTCATATGACTTTATGACATTTTTATTCTTGAGAAGTAATCTTGCTTATTTACATGTACTTCATGTTACAGGCTTGTCATAAACATGGAGTGATGCATCGTGATCTCAAACCAGAAAATTTTCTTTTTGCAAATAAGAAGGAATCATCCCCATTGAAGGCAATCGATTTTGGGCTGTCTATCACTTTTAAACGAGGTATTGCGGCTTGTAGTCAATTGACATACGAGAATCATGTTATCATTTTGTTGTGCATTCTTGTTTTGTTTGTTTTGTTACACTGGCCGCACCTTTCTATTTGTACATGCCATGAAACGTACTACACATTACTGTTTCTATTGGATTAGGTGAACAATTCAATGAAATAGTAGGCAGTCCTTATTACATGGCCCCAGAGGTCCTGAAAAAGAACTATGGTCCAGAAGTTGATGTTTGGAGCGCCGGGGTTATCCTCTATATTTTACTCTGTGGCATTCCACCATTTTGGGCAGGTTTGAATTTTTGTTCTCTACACAGTTCATATGTTGTAAGAACAATGAATGCATATACACAGTTTGGTTAAGAAATAAGTTCTCATTGCTTGTGGATAGAATCTTTCACATAAGTAGCCTGTTAGTGTAGTTTTTGTAGTTCTTCTTTTAGATTTCCTCCTCATAAGCTTTCGATTTTCGTGTAGAAACTGAACAGGGTGTAGCACAGGCAATTATTCGCTCGGTTATTGATTTTAGGAGAGACCCCTGGCCAAGAGTCTCTGAAAATGCAAAGGACCTTGTAAGAAAAATGCTTGATCCCGATCCCAAGCGGCGCCTTACCGCTCAGGAAGTTCTAGGTATCATGTCCACTGATTTCACACTTATAGTTTAGAATTTGCACAGAATACCTGAAATATCACTTTGTGCAGGCCACCCTTGGTTACAAAATGCTAAGAAGGCTCCAAATGTTCCATTAGGCGAGACAGTAAAAGCAAGACTCAAGCAATTTTCTGTGATGAACAAGCTCAAGAAACGAGCTCTAAGGGTGACCATAAACGTCATTTGGGGTGTTTTATAGGATAGATTGCCTGAGTTATAAATGACATTTCATTTGATTATTGTCCTTAGGTGATCGCTGAGCATTTGTCAGTGGAGGAAGTAGCTGGCATAAAGGATGCATTTGAGATGATGGACGTTGAGAAGAGGGGAAAGATAAATCTGGAGGAGCTGAGAAGTGGATTGCAAAAGCTCGGACAACAGATTCCAGAAGCAGATCTTCAGATACTTATGGAAGCAGTATGTACAATTCTCTGTTATGTATTGTTTTCGTATCCTTGAACGTGTGTGCCTTGAATTTGCTATCATCCTTCTTTCTTGGACTTGTTTAGATTTTTTTTTTTTTTTCCCCGACACACGTAGGTAGATATAGGGGCCGATGTTCTCTAAAAAGAAAACTATGAGATCCCACATCGGTTGGGGAGGAGAACAAAACATTTTTTATAAGGGTGTGAGAACATCAGCATACGCGTTTTACAGAGGACAATATCTGCTAGCGGTGGACTTAGGCTGATACAAATGGTATCAAAACCAGACACCGGGCGATGTGCCAGGAGGAGGCTGAGCCACAAAGGGGTTGGACACAAGGCGGTGTGCCAGCAAGGATGCTGGACCAGAAGGGAGTGGATTGAGGGGTCCTACATCGATTGGAGAAGGGAATGAGTGCCAGCGAGGTCGCTAGGCTCCGAAGGGAGGTGATTGGGAGGTCCCACATCGATTGGAAAAGGGAATGAGTGCCAGCTAGGACGCTGGCTCTCGAAGGGGTTGGATTGTGGGGTCCCACTTCGATTGGAGAAGGGAATGAGTGCTAGCAAGGACGCTGGGCCCCGAAAGGGGTGGATTGTGAGATTCCACATCGGTTGAGGAGGAGAACGAAACATTTTTTTTATAAAGGTGTGCAAACATCTCCCTAGCATACGTATTTTTAAAACCTCGAGGGGAAAGTCCAAAGAGGACAATTTCTACCGGCGGTGGGCTTGGGCTGTTACAAAAATAAAAACGAAAACGAAGCATGAATGGTCAGATGCTTGAATTCATGGTGTCTCTGTGATTCAAAGGCAGTCTATTCTATCTTGTGAAGTAGTAATGAAACCTTTAGACACAATTACTGACTCAACTTTTTCTTTCTACAGGCTGGTGTTCATGATGATGGAACTCTCAACTACGGAGAGTTTGTTGCACTTTCAATCCACCTCAGAAGGATGGCAAATGACGAGCACCTACATAAAGCTTTTGCATTCTTTGATCAAAATCAGAGTGGTTTCATCGAGATTGAAGAGCTTCGAGCTGTGCTAAATGATGAAGAAACAAACAGTGAGGATGTCATCAGTGCCATTATGCACGATGTCGACACGGATAAGGTCAGTACCTCATGTCCAGTTCTTAGTAACATACACAAACTTGATACTCCTCGAAATGCTTCATAGCTCTAGTTCCTGCTTGCCAAACGCCTGAAAGTAGTTCAGCTCCTCCATAGATGTTGATATAGATGCACCCTTTGTATACTGCTTTTGTAGGACGGATGCATAAGCTACGAGGAGTTTGCGGGAATGATGAAGGCGGGAACCGATTGGAGAAAAGCATCGAGGCAATATTCACGGGAAAGATTCAACAACCTGAGCTTGAAGTTGTTCAGAGAAGGGTCATTTAATCTTACTAATTAAGGTATAGATAAACCGTCTGAAAGATGAAATGATTCAACCGATATCTGAAGAATGCAAATATTTGGTATATATATAAAAACACTTATGTTGGGTTTTGTGCCATTCGTTTATGATATAAGACTCTATAATTATTAATATTATTATCATTTTAAGTCTATTCCAAGTCAAACACCATTGACTCTGGATCAAGCTCCAGAGTGTGTATGCAAAGGGAGAGCACTTTCTGGGATCTTCTTGCCAACCTCCATTAATGGTCTCTTTATTAAATGCATATTCTTGAACAGAGTGAGATATAAAGTTCCTTATTTTCGTCTGGATTGAGATGATGATAAAGTTTAGTCATTTGGGTTCTTAGATCCGTTTTGAAGTCCGTCCACTAAACAGCCAACCAATATTATACCATAGGAAGAATGAGATGACCACATTACAACGGGTTGGTTTCGACAACTTGAATGTTGTGTTTTGTTGAGATATGCTGACTATTTCGACCCCAAGTTATGATGGTATAAAAGTTTTGATTTGTTTAAAAGTGTGATAAGAAAGAAAGGAGTTGAATGAACTTTGAGTTGAAGGAAGCAAAAACAAGAACACTGAAGGGGGATTCATGGCAATTCATAGCTTTCTTATACAGATTTTACAATAAAACTCGGAAACCAGAAACCAAATGAAATGATTTGATAGGGAAGGAAGAAAAAAAAAAAAAGACAACAGAGAAAACATCTGGAAATCATTTGCGGCATATACGGGCAGTGGGCATTGTGACACAGATGGGAGCATACTTCTGCTTGGCCTCAGCGGAGCCACGTGGGGGCTCATCCGCCATCGCCGCCTTCGCGAAGGTCGCAGCTGCCACAGTCACAGCGGCCGCCACTAACTCCCGCCGCCCTTGGCTGCTCTCCACCTTCACGTTCTTGATCTCCAAGTTGGCGTTGGAGTTGCTGTCAGTGGCAGCGGCAGAGGTGGAGGCCTTGGTGACGAAGAGGGCTCTTCGGGCGGCGGCGGCGGAGGGTTGGGTGGCGGTGAAGGGGAGGAAGGAGGCTGTGATGGACATGGAGGCCATTATCAGGGATTTGGAGAAATTGGGGTCTGAGATTGGGGAGATTAGTGGTTGTTGAGAGAGGTGGGTGAAGGAGAAAGAGGATATAGTTTATGTTTGGGAGTGTGTCCAGCTAATTCAAGCCTCCTTCTGCTCATTCTTCATTCAAACATCATCCATTTCCTTATCCTATCACATTTTCTAACCAATGCCCTCTTGCCACGTGTTCTCCTTTATCTCTTTGCCCAATTACAACTTCTCTTTACATGGTAGATTCACAACCAAGCGTTTCTACCATGTTCTACAATAACAATAATTTTTTTAGCTTTAATTTTAAATATACAAAATTAAAAACTAAAAACTTTTACAACTTTTAAAATAATAATCTCGTGTCTATTAAGGAGAGACTTGTAGCCAGTGTCCTCACTGGCACACTGCCTAATGTTTCTTTGATACCATTTGTAATAGCTCAAGATCACTGCTAACAAATATTATTTGTTTTGGCCTATTACAGTCTCACAGTTTTAAATGCGTGAGGGGTTTTCGTAAGGAATGTTTGGTTTCTCTCTCCAACTAATATCTAACTCACAAATAACAAGAGGTTGGAGAGGGAAGTGAAACATTTGTTACATGTGTCTAGAAACCTCTCCTTAGTATACGCATTTTTTGTGTATATATATATATATATATATATCTTTTTGTAATAGATTACTCTATTAGAATAGAATTGAGAGTGATAAACCCAATTATATTTTTACTTTATGTAATTTTTTGATAAATCTTAAATTTGGTTTGTATCATTAATTTATTATCATTGTTTTTTGTATAAATTTTGGAGGTGAATTCGCATGTATTTCCATGAATTACAGTTATTACAAAAATAATAATAATAATAAGATACAGTGAATTTATAAGGACAAAAATTTGAATTTTGAAAACTGAACGGGTTAAATGGAATGAGGTTGAAAGTACCCCATCAAAATAGTATTTATATTATTTAACAGTAATATTCGGAATTTTTTTAATTTATAAAAAGGTACTGTACTTGGACCGTATTCACTGTGTATCTGTGTGGTAACAGAGACTCGCTCTGCTTTCCCAATTACCGATTACTTGGAAACATTTTCAAATTTTGAAATTGGGAAATCCAAATTCAATTGGGCCTTAGATCCGCTTCTTTTGGGCCTTGGTTTGCGAGCCACTTGACTTGGGCCTTGCGCTCCACTAACCAACCACATTTCATGCAGCCACTCACTCCCTGTTGCCCTCTCATTATTTTACTTTTCAGGGACAGTTTTGTAAACATCCATTTTTATTCTATATTTTTATTTTATCCAAATATCTCACCAATTTTTAAATAATTGGAGAAATAGAAAAAGACAAATATATGAAAATTACTGGTGAAGGATAAGATTCAATTTTCCATTAATGATACATAAATAATGTGCGGTAAGTGAGATGACGTGGACAGTAAAGAAATTCAGAGAGAGAGAGAGAGAGAGAGCGTTACAGCGCGCGCGCGGTCACATCATTCGTGTGAGTTTGTTGATTTGATGCGCTCTCTACACTGCCACTCCATTATTTTTATGTTCACACCCTTTTTACATCCATCAACTATTTTTGCAATTTTTTCAAACTTTTTTCTTTTAAATATCCACAATTTTTTTTTGTAAAATATTTGTGACATTGTGATAGGTCTTAAGAAATTACGTAATAATTTTAGTTCGTTACGTATCGCAATCAACCTCAAAATTTTAAAATACGTGTAGTAGAGAGAGGTTTTCCACATTTACGATTAACGTGTTTCATTCTCCTCTCCAAAACCATGCGTGATCTCATAAACTATATACTTGTTTATACTCAAGAAGAATAATATTAAACCAATGTATTCAATCCCGGCACATAGTTTAACAAGAAACTAAACAAAGTTTTAAATAATTTCTGAAATAACAACTTGGTCCTGGGACAAGTCAAGAAATGTCCTGCCAGAGAGAGTTAAGATTTGGGTGTAAATAAATTAAGAAAGTTTATAGTATAGTTATATTTTTTTATTATGTTAAACAAGGTGTGGTACATTTTACAACGGTAAAAAATCATGAAATTGCGTGAAGAAATAGTATGTCCCTTATTAAATTAACCACTTACAATTTTATTTATAAAAATAAAATAAAAGTTGAAAGTTATTGATATTATAGGTCACGGATTTTGTTTATCAAGTAAGTTTATATGCATATAAGGGTTCCTTTTTTTTCTCTTATATCTTAATTTATTAATCTTAATAATTCTTAATCATGAGCTGAAAAAAGAATATATGGGCTTATTATATAAAAAGGAGATTGATAAAGAGAATTAAAATAGTGTAAGGACAAAGGTATGATTTAAGTATAACGAAATGAAAAAGAATCAAATCTAATAATGTGTCACACTGTCAAAAAGAATGAAAAATATTGTGATTTGTTCATTTGTCAGTGGAAGTTTAAACCCCATAAGGAAAGAATTTGAATTTAAATATAAAATAAATAAAGAGTCTATTTTTTAAGAAGAGAAGAGAAGAGAAGGGAAGAGAAGAGAGGAGAATAGTACAAAGCCCCAACCAACTATTCCCTTAAACGGCACGTACCAATAGTTTATGTTGTTTTTTTATTGGTAAATAGCCACCACCAATCATATATAATTGTATGAATTTTGGCTGACACACACACACACACACACACACACACACACACACACACACACACACACCTTGTTAACTGTGACTGCTGTTTCCCTTTCCCTAACATTTAAATATTTTTAAATGTTTTCTTTTTCTTTCCTAGTTTAAACTTTCAAATACTTATTTACTTATTCCACTTTATTCACCAAATAATTCACGCTATTCAATTTTTTAATACTGAGGTGAATCTATATTTTGAAATTTTAATTCATAAATATTTGTATCTAATTTCAATAAAAATAAAAAATAAAAAATAAAAAAACCTTGTGGCTTCTCAAGTACCTTATAGGAATGCAAAGACAACATTTAAAAGGGGCATGTTGGAACTTGGAGAACAAAAAAAAAAAAAAAGGAGGGGAATTTAAACCAAACAATTGGTTAATTGGGTTTTGTCTTTTTGAGTTTGGTCTAGTGGGATTTGACCGTTGTGCATAAAATTATTTAAATAAAACGGCAGATTATTGTTTGTTTATGTTTAAATTGAGGCAGGAGGAGTTGAGGTTTGTGCTGACTTTATTGTTTATTGGATATTGGTATTTGGTTGTGCAAACATTTTACCCAAATTCCGAATGCTTCCTTCCCCATCTCGAGCCTCCTCCATTAATGAAACATCAAGGCCTCATTCTCACTCACACTTCTCAACCTCCAAGGAAATAAATTAGGCCCATGCAAAAAAAGAAGGAAAAAAAAAAACACACACACATTACAATTCACAACAGCTTTCATTTGAAATCTCTGTACTCTTACACTTCACGAGGTTGCACGCCTTCTCTCCCAATTCGATTTACCCTCTTCACTTCTCCAGCTTTCTCTCTGTCTTTTCTTCTTCTTCTCTCTCTGGTTTTCGTTTTCAAAATCCACTGGGGAAAACCAAAGGAGCTTTTGGTTTTTAGGTCCATTTCATTACATTCCGATGTCATCATTGGCGACAGTGACTGCTACAAGAAGGCCCAAATGGCAGTACCCGCAACCGGCGCCTCCGACTCCCAGGATTCTCCACTTTCCGAGGAGGCCGAGGACGCGGCGCCGGCCGTCCAAGAGTGTACCTGCAAAACCCAGTTCCGGTTTCGATGGGAGAGGGAAGCTCGAGGCGTTGTTCGACCAGGAACGGGCGTTTTTGAAGGACGGCTTTCCGGTTGTTTTGATGGATCGTGGTGAGGGGAGGAGTGAGAGAGTGGAGGAGAGAGAGATCGTTGGCGTCGCAAGTGCAGCGGCGGAGGAGAAGTGGCGGTTTCAGGCGGAGATGTTGAGGGCGGAGTGTAACTTGTTGAGGATGGAAAGAGAGATTACCAACAAGAAATTGGAGAAGATGAAGGTTCGAATGGAGAGGACTCTGAAATCAGCTGTTCAAGCTCTTGTTTCTGTGAGTTTTCGTTTTCATTTTTCCTTCCACCTCAGTTCTTCATTTATCTTCCAACGAAATCTCAAAAGGAACACTGCTCATTCTCGCATTCGAAATTGGGCAGATCTCTAAACTAATCAACGAATTCAATCATGAATAAGAATAACAACACTTCTTACGGTTGTTGCTGATAAATTAAAATATGGGCACATACATTTTCTACAAAGCAACGAGTTGGGATTTATGATAAAGATTGGTACCGAATGCAGATTCTAAACAACCAAGTTTGATGCAGGGGAAAAACAAGGTATATGAAGGCAAGGATATGGAGATGGTATTGGAGGATGAGATCAACGATTTGGCTAAAAAACTCGAGAGGTTGCGAAGGGGCTCAAGAAACAAACAGATAGTAGTTAGGAAGTGTAGTAATTTTGACAAACGTGCGTCGTTACTACAGAGAAAGCTTGAGAAAATTGATGGGAACTCTGGTGAACTGATTGCTACAGAGACGAAGGACGCTTGTGGAGATCACGAAAGCTTCATTTCAAGTGGAAAATTCAATGTAAGAATGGTTTGAATATCCGTTTTCTGATCCTAATTGTTCGTGGTATCTAATCCACTCTTTTTATTAACTTCGAAGAATGTTCAGGTGGAGGTTTTGAGGAGAAAAATGGAAGATCTGTCGAAGGGAACTTTGTTAGAGAAAATGAGGGAGGAATGTAGGTCCATGCTTTCCATTACAGCCACCAGTTCCGTCGTCAGCTCCGCCACTAGCTCCGCCGCATCTTCGAAGATCAGAACCGAGCATCCGGATTCATCCATGCCGACACACCTACCGAATCTGGTAAATGTCTCTTCTCAGTGGTCAAGATCAACCTAATTTGAATAGAATTCAAATCACTAAAACACGGAGTATCTGTTTTTTCCTATTCAGGACTCAACATCACAAGAACGGAATCAATGCTCAGGGCATTGCAAGGCGATTATTCGAAGAATCACGGAGCAAGTTAAAGCCGAAAAAGATCAATGGTCGCAAATGCAGGAGATGTTGAATCAAGTGAGGGAAGAGATGGAAGAGTTGCAGGTTTCTCGAGAGTTCTGGAAAGATCAAGCCCTGGAATCCGAATCTCAAATCCGATCTCTTCAATCCTCTGTAAGAACAACATTTCTTCACAAACTACGCAGAATAAGAAAAGAAAACTCCATTACCGCACCAATTTCTAATCCTGATATTTTAAATTCAATTTCTGCAATCTTCAAGAAGAAGAAATACTCCAATATCCTACCAATCTCTAATCTGACGATTCTAAATCCCATTTCTGCAATCTTGCGTAAAAACATCACTTCTCAAAATACATGCACACAAGAAAAACTCCATTACCTTACCGTCTGTGATGAACTGATGATTCATAATTCGGCTTCTGGTAGGTTGAAGAATGGAAACACAAGGTGATTGCGCATGAAAGCAAAACAAAGGAGGTCGAGAGGTCGAAGAAGAAGGGGCAAGGACGACATGGACAAGCTTCGCCACCAGATGAAATGGAGAAGCATGTGCTGATCTGCCGCGTGAAGGAGAAGAATCCTAACCTCCTCCATGCACGCGATGTTCGAAGCAGGCGTAGAGAGATCTCCATTGATGAACAGCAACTGCAACAACAACAGCAACAAAAAATTCATTCGCATATCAAAGCGTTCGAGAAATCTCAACGATTACCTTTTCGAGATATCACTAACAATTACCTTCATAAGTGAATTTTAGATCCTTACTTCCAAGGAAATTTAACCTTCTTTTTAGATGCTTTTGTCTGTTTCCCGAATTTGTACATATATGTTGAGCCTTTTAAGGAAAACTATTTAGTGATAAAGTCTTGATCCATAAATGTGGGAAAATAACAAAAATATCCATTTTAGGCCCTTTTAATAAATGGCTTCTTCTTCTTCTTTTAATAAAATTTACTCAACAAATTGACGGACTATGTAATGAGCTGATTTCTATAGGATAAGACATTTGATAGTGTAACGGTTAAACTAACTAACATCAAATAATTGATTTAATGTAATATTTTTTAAAATACAAAATAAAAAGTTGGTACATCTATAAAAGTCCAAAGACACAATTTAATCCGTAATGTGTAAGTCAACAATAAAATCAGCTTAAACTCAAAAGTATAAGCCCCGAGAAACCGCGTCCGGTCTGATCCAACTCATCTCTTTCAAGGAGAGAGACAAAGCAGATACTGGGCCCGGTTGACCCATTGGGCTAACTCAGAGTATGCTTCAAAAGCTCAAATAACGGCCCATCAATGCACGAAACGGCACGCATGACCCACCGTTTTAGTCGATAACGCCTGGCCCATGGCCGACAGAAATTCTTTTCTAAAAACAATATATTTTCGATATCTAACACAATAATAATAATAAATAAACTTTTTATGTTCCAACTCCTCAGTGGAGGGAGCTTAGGCTTAGCCCTTTGCTTAAGAGAGGAGGAGCCAGCGGCGGAGAGATGGAGAGAGACAGATGCCGGAGAGGTGGAGCGGCGGCGACATTGAAAGCAGAACAGAGGATTTGGCTTGGGCTGACGTATTTAGGGCTCTATGGGTATGGGTTGTTGTGGATTCAGTGAATCATATTTATTTTTATAAATTTTGAGTCATAACAGTCGTATCATATTGTGCCTAAAAACTGGGCGACTATGATATTTTGGTGTCTAATTTGGGTACGTGGCTTCCAATTTTCCACGCATTGGGCACCCCTAAGTTAAAGGACTTTTATATGCCTTATTTTTTCTTGGAATAATAAATGCTAATATGGTTGGGTAGGTTAAATTATTGTGAACCACATTAAAATCCTCTTCTCCATCGTCACTTTAATTTGTATGATAATATAAAAGTAATTGATTGATTAAATATATTTGAATTAGTGTGAGAATGGAAAGCATCACATTCACATGTTCATTTAATATTCCAACTCACCACCCATTCCCACATGATAATCAAACTCAAACCCCGTATCGTGTCTTCTCTTCTTCTCGTTTTCCTCTTTCGTCATTAATTTGGTGTGCACACCTCCATTTGTGGCAGCATTTATAGTTCTACATAATATGTTCATTTTGCTATATTATAATCCCCCTTCTCTCTCCCTATGTTCCTCCTCCTCCCCACCCTCCATTCTTACTCTCCCACTCACCCATCCTGATTCACCGCCATGGAAATTCACCACCACGCCGGAGGAACCCATTCCCACGCCGCTGCCGACGCCCTGCGGCGGGGAGAAGAGCGAGGGACTTACCTTGTGTGGGAGGATCTCACCGTCATGCTTCCTAATTTCACCGATGGCCCCACCAAGAGGCTACTCAATGGCCTCCGTGGCTACGCCGACCCCGGCCGGATTATGGCCATCATGGGCCCTTCCGGCTCCGGCAAATCCACCCTTCTTGATACTCTTGCAGGTTCTCTCTCTCTCTCTCTCTCTCTACAGATTTATATGCATGCATTCTCTTTAGAACTAGGAATTTTTCAAAGGGGACGAACACTTTCTAGTGTTTTGAAGTTTGTTTGGATGTGACGATAAGATATTCTATCCGGGGATTGGTGAGTACCTTACCTCTCTTCCGTGTTTGTAAGTAAATGCCGATTCTTTCTTCTTTCTTCTTCTTCTTCTTCGTCTTCCAATTGTTAGTTGGGTATATTTATTGTTTCTTCAGTGATTTTAAATTTTAATGTTTTTTTTTTTTTTAATTTGATGGATTTTCTTTTGGGTAATATTTTTTTTATTAACAAAATGAATTTTGGTCCCCACCGACTAAAATTAAATGAGTTCTACACTCAACAGTCAGCATTAAATGTAATTTCTCCCCTTAGATTTTATTTCACAAAATTATACAAAAATAGCCCAATGATTTTATTTTACATATATATATTTGCCTCCACATTCATTGCCCAAATTATTTAATTCATTAATATCACTTTGAATTTTTTGTTTTTTTATTTCCCAAAATTAAACTATCAACGCTAATTCTATTAATTTTGCTATTTTCTTTCTCTGCGAGTGAAATAAAAAAATAAAAAAAAATCTTTTTAAAAATAAAATTTGATTTAGAATCTAAATGTTTAACTACAAAATATGTGATTAAAAAACATAAGAAAATTTAAAAAACAAAAATCAAGGTGGTTTTAAAATAATAGTTATTAGATACTATAATTTTTTGTTAATTATATATATAGAAGTGTGTATAGTTAGGATTAAGCGATTATAACAACATTCAAACATAAATCTTTTTTTTAGGTCAACCAAAACTCTGACATTTGATCGATTGTATATATTTAAATGAGTGAGAAGGATAACTTGATCTATAATTTTAATCAAAGTAATAGAGCTATTATTCTTAAATCAATTAACGGAATTAACTAACCTTGCCAACTTACGCAACAGGGAGACTCTCCAAGAATGTGGTAATGACTGGACATGTTTTCCTGAATGGAAAGAAGAGGAAGCTCGGAAATGGCGACGTTGTAAGTACTCTTCTCTCTTTCAGACTGTAACATTTATGTAGGAGCTGAAAATTCACTTCAACATTTGCAGGCCTATGTAACCCAAGAAGACATACTATTGGGAACTCTAACGGTGAAAGAAACCGTAAGCTACTCTGCCCAGCTGCGGCTTCCGAGTTCTATGACCAAAGATGAGCTCAACAACATCGTGGAGGCAACGATTTTGGAAATGGGTCTTCAAGACTGCGCCGATCGATTGATTGGGAATTGGCATCTTCGAGGAATTAGTGGTGGGGAAAAGAAGAGATTGAGTGTTGCGGTTGAAATCCTCACACGCCCTCGTTTGCTTTTTCTTGATGAACCCACCAGCGGCCTTGACAGTGCCTCCGCGTTCTTTGTCATTCAAACTCTTAGAAATGTTGCTCGTGATGGGCGGACTGTTGTTTCTTCAATTCACCAGCCGAGTAGTGAGGTTTTTGCGCTCTTTGATGACCTTTTTTTGCTCTCTGGAGGTGAGGCTGTTTACTTTGGGGAAGCCAAAATGGCTGTACAGGTATGGGCTTTCAGGTTGCAAACTTGCAGGTTTTCGCCTTCCAACTGTTCGATGAAATGTCTCACTTGTTATTTGGGTTGTTTATCTGTTTCGTAGTTCTTTGCTGAAGCTAATTTTCCTTGTCCAAGTAGAAGGAATCCATCTGATCACTTTCTTCGTTGTATAAATTCGGATTTCGATATCGTTACAGCCACACTCAAAGGGTCTCTAAGAATTAGAGTAAGAACAAGTTTTGAATTGTAACCAAGTTCAAAAAACTACTGGTGGATTGCGTTTATACTTCTTTTTGCAGGATATCCCAGAATCATCAGACCCTTTCATGAATTTGGCAACAGCTCAAATCAAGTCATCGCTTGTTGAAAAATATAGGAGCTCACAGTATGCAAGTAGAGTGAAGGCAAGAATTCGAGAAATCTCCACCATTGTAAGCATGATTCTGCTACTAACCCTCAAGAGAACAAGCAATTTTTGGAACAAATTTTATGAACAGTTTCATCCTTTCCAGGAGGGACTTGAAGTTGAGGATGAAAAAGGAGGCGGAGCTAGTTGGTTCAAGCAGCTTTCGACACTGACCCGTCGATCATTTGTTAATATGTGTAGGGATGTCGGATATTATTGGCTAAGGATAATTATCTACGTGATAGTCTCCTTATGCGTTGGTACCATCTACTTTGATGTTGGAACCAGTTACACCGCAATCTTAGCTCGAGGAGCCTGCGGTGGATTTATCACTGGCTTCATGACATTTATGACTATTGGGGGCTTTCCATCTTTTACTGAGGAAATGAAGGTAAGACATCTGATATTGGAAGAGGAGGTTAATCTGGGCGTTTCTTTAGTGTTCTGAAGTTTTTGTTTCATTCTTCTGCAGATGTTTTACAGAGAAAGGCTGAATGGATACTATGGAGTTACAGTGTTCATATTGTCAAACTTCCTCTCTTCTTTACCGTTCTTGGTTTCGATTTCAATTGTTTCGGGTACCATCACCTTCTACATGGTGAAATATCGGCTGGAGTTCTCCCGCTACATGTTCTTCTGCCTTAATATTTTTGGATGCATTTCTGTAATAGAGGGGTTGATGATGGTTGTGGCTTCATTGGTTCCAAACTTCCTGATGGGAATTATAACAGGCGCTGGAATCATTGTAAGACCATTTAATAAAGCTTGCTTATAAGAATCCACAGCCTTGTTTTTCATTTTCCTTTTTCCGTTCAGGGTATCATGATGATGACCTCTGGCTTCTTCCGGTTGTTGCCTGATCTTCCAAAGCCCTTTTGGCGGTATCCAATCTCATATCTCAGTTATGGCTCTTGGGCACTACAGGTATCATCATCCATGTCCAGTCTCTTAAAGCAGCTTCCATTTCATGATGATAATTGGGTGGTTTGATTCTGCAGGGTGCTTACAAAAACGACTTGATCGGGCTCGAGTTCGAGCCAATGATACCGGGAATGCCGAAGTTGAGTGGGGAGTATGTAATCACCAATATGTATGGGATTCCATTAAGCCATTCCAAGTGGTGGGACTTAACAGGTCTCATGCTCCTTGTTCTTCTATACCGAATTCTGTTCTTTGTTGTCTTGAAATTCAAAGAAAGAGCTTCACCATTTCTGCGGACAATATTTGCAAAGAAAACTCTGAAACATCTCCAGAGAAGACCTTCCTTCCGAACAATGCCTTCTATTTCCTCTAAGAGGCACCAACCTCTTCACTCACTTTCTTCTCAAGAAGGTCTCAACTCTCCTCTCAACTAGAAGCTGAAGCACCAAAAACGATGACTTGGAAAGCTTGTACCTATAACAATGTAACTTCTAAGAGGTATGTAGTTAGCTGCGGATCCTCATTTCAATGGAATTTCTTCAATATTTACTAAACTCGGTTCCTTTTTAAGTTTACCACTAGCCCATATTGTCATTTTTTAGTTTTTCCTTTTGGACTTCCCCTTAAAATTTTAAAACGTGTCTACTAGAGAGAGGGGAACGAAGTTTCTACACTCTTATAAAGAATATTTTGATCTCACAAAGCACGAATGAAATTTAGAACTCTTTAACTATTTGTCCCCTGCTATTAACTCTCACCCACTTCGCCACTTGTCAGGCGGAGAGAGACTATGCCCGATTTGCTTGATGAGAAACACACACACACACAGGCCTTGCATAGACATCTCACTTTGATGTTTTCTCCATATCTGTCACTACTTATAAGATTGTATCAACATTGAACACTTCTCTTTTTCCTGATTGATAGCAGAGGAAGTACAAAGAGAGATGGGCATGTCCCATTTAGAAGGTGGAATACTACTTGGTCGTATAGAACACTTTAGTAGTACCACAATTACACGCAGTTAGGCATATAATTAATGCATGCACACTGAATACAGCATACTTGATATACTGTAATGATATATTTAGAAAAATCACAGTTCTGATGGAATGAGATTGTACTTTTGTATTCCAAGAGAACTCAACCTACACATAGCCAATGATCAAGAAGAAGTAAATGAGATTGTGGAAATGGGTCTATGTGGATTGTTGGAAACTGGCATTTAAGAGGCATTAGTCGGGAAGAGAAGAAAAGATTAGGTATTGCTGTTGGATAAAAGAAAAAGGGACAGTGAAAGAGATAGAAATAGATAGAAGTTGCAGTGCTTTATTAATGTTTCTAACTCAAGGCTTACACGGTCACACAATTCCTGTATTTATAGTTTATACACCGGACCAGAAATAGATAAATTCAAATCTACTAACAATCTCCTAAAATCTTGGTAGTTTGAATATTTGAATTCTATCTCAACTACTTTAAATCATATATTCATTTTGAACCCTTTGATTCATCTCAACAATTGCAATGGAAATGTTCACCAGAACGATATCATACATGACTCTCTACAATGGTATGATATTGTCCATATTGAGCATAAGCTCTCATGGCTTTGCTTGGACTTCCCCTCATACCAATGCAGTTAGTATTCCTCGCTTATAAACCCATGATCATTCCCTACTTTCATCATCCAACCCTTGAGGAGGTGAAAATTGAGGAAGTGGAGATGCACAACTGGGCAAACGCGACGGTGATGACTGAAATAAACTATTCCGATTGAAGTTAAGAGAGCGAAAAAGAGGACGGGTTAGTGAAGGCGGCAAAAGTACTAATTTATACGTTTCCCTTTAATTACATCTAAAACTTCATGGGCCCAGCCCAAAAGTATCTAAATCTTCATGGGCCGAGCCCAGAAGTACTAATTTTTCATTTTCTTAAATCATAAAAGATTCAAACGTGCCCTAAAATTGAAAATAATTATTATTGGTTTTATATATGATAGGTAAAAACATTGCTAATAAAGGCCTTGCATAGATTTCATTTAACTAATTTTAATCTACATTTTATGTAATTTAATTCTCTTACCCATTATAGTATCAAAAAGCCATGAATCCAAATCGTTTTTATAGTATCAAAAAGCGATGAATCTAAACCGTTCAAAAATTATGTAGGAAGAGTTCGAGTCAACATCTTCATAGTTGAAAACGTTGCAAATCTAGCAGTTTAGAAGCTTAACACTCTTCATAGTTTTCTTGAACATGTTTTAGGATCATGCTCCCAGACCACGAATCAAATGGTTAACTTTCTTTATCAGAGTGATTGGTTTTTTTTGGATAATAAATTTTTTAATAATATTCCAAATGAGGCCTGTGTTTATAAAAGTGAAGTTTGGCCCCCACACCAAATAAAAACATTATTGTGCTTTTCAATACATTAATAATTCATAAGGTTATCCTTCCAACCAGCTTGAGAATATGATTTTTTTTATAATTATTATACATGCTATGTATTAAACCATGCCATATACGTCAACCATGGACTTTTTACTCCCTCAATTATTTGCTCAACCTTTAAAATTCACCTTAATTATATAATTACGTTATGCAATACTCAATCCAGGTGTCACGTCTCTCAAATGAAATAGGTGTAATAAAGTGTTGATTAGTAGTCTTAGCTAATACGAGCCCATCCCTATAAATTAAATTAAAAAATTTTGAGTAATTAAATTATAAGTGTTAAAAAAAAACTTTTATTTTATACTGGATAGAAGATTTATGAAATAATAAGAGAGAGAGAAAATAAAACCTAAAAATGTGATTTTGATTTTGATTTTGATGGGATGATCGTGATAAGAGCGAGGGAGGAGATGGACCCAATGCCTCAAGCCTAATAATGTGAGAATGAAAATGGAATAATAAAAGACGGAGAAAAAAAGGAAGCAAAATGAAGGGATTGAAGCTGCAAACACAATTCATGATATTGAAGGCGCCCTTGCAAGATCAAAAACAGCGCCAAAGAAAGCAATCAGCTTCTTTATCAAAGTCACACCTGTGATTAACTGTTGAAAACCCAAGGAAATCTCTCTTCCTCTCTCTCTCTCTCTCTCTCTCTCTCTATCCGTTTCTCTCTCTTCCTTTTGTTTTTGCCTTCCAACCCAAGGAAATAACTCGGACCTCAAAATACTGTTGCCACTTTCCATTTCAATCCCATACTTACGCCGAATCCGCTATGATCGTTGTTTCTGCATTGGGTTTCAAGCGGGCTGCCATTGATGGGCGGGCTCGAGGTTTGAAAGGTAACCGGTGTTCGTGAGCCTTCTAAATCCCCAGACCCACCTCTGACTCCCAGATTTATGATTCTCCAATTTGTTTGAGTTGCCAAAACCTTGCCCCTACGACATGAATTCATCAAGTTTCCACGATAATGCTTCTGGGTCTTCCAATTCTTACGATGGCTATTCGAACTTCAGTTTCGTTACGCAATCGGTTCCTCGATCCAAGTCTGGTCTTACGAGGCCGAGGATGTCGAAGGTGAGGAGGCAAACGAATACCCAGGATTTGAGGTCTGCGGCGGTCCCGGAAACGTATCGACCCTCCACCAGAAATTCATTTCCGGCCTCAATTTGGGGTCAGGATTCTGTCTCCGGTAAATCTGGGTCGGGTGGGATTGGGAATCAGCCATTTGTATTTGGAGAAAATAGGAGCACCACCAGCTCGAATTTGGAGAAATCAGAGAGAGGAGTTCTTGATGGAATGAAGAAATTGAATATCGAAAGCGTGGATGAGTTTTCGATTGCCAGAGATGGGAAATTCAGCTTTAATGGTGGCAATAGAAGTTCGAGTAAAACTGAGGTTTTTGATAAAGGAGGCGATGAAGCCATTGAATCAAAGCTTCCGGATGACATGAGGAAATTGAACATTGAAGAAGGGCAAGGTAATGCTGCACGAATTGACAAAACTATAAATGAAAGTTCGAGGTTTAGATCAAATGAACAGGCTAAATTTGGTTTGTGGAGCAGTAATGTTGTTCATCCTCTAGTTTCAGAACTCCCCAACAAGTTGCAGCATTTGAACATTGAAGATAGTGGGCATCATGATAGCGGCAGTGCTGCATTTAAATCTGAGGGTGTGGATACGTTCGGATTGGACAAGGGTAAGGGTGTTACAAGCTCAGCAGATTCTCTTCCCGAGAAGATAAAAGGTTTGAGCATAAGGGGCACATCTAATTCAGCAAATATCAACACCCAAGGGACTGGTGGTAATTTTGTTGAGCAAAAGGATACAATGTTGTCAAGAAAGATGGAGGAGTTGAAACTAGATAAAAGGACACCTTCATCTGGAGTAATTGCAGAGAAGACAGAAATGCAAAATTTTAGTGATTTTGACCGAAATCTTGATCAACCATTGGCCACGGACATTAAATCTCAGAAGTTGCAGGAGTCTAAGGACATGGGAGGTGGTCAGGTTTCTTCATATGCACAAAATGATGGTAATGATCTAAATGGTGTCACTATGCCGCCTTCTTCAATTTTTTACAATGATATACAACCTGTTGGTAGTACATTTCAAGTGACTGATACAAACAGAAACAAAGAAACAGATTACTTTCGCTCTATGAATAAACAAGAAAATACTGGATCGGCTTTTGTAGAATTTAAAACACCAGAAGTCAAAGCAAACATTTTTTCTGCTGGAATCAGTCCAAACTTTCAATTCAATGCACATAGGGATCCAATTAGAGAATTTGGACCGAATAGTAGGAGTGGAAGGTATAATCCTACCGCGGCACAGTTGCGTGTTGAACAGGAGACTCATGATTTTGGTTCAAGGGAAGGGGATCCCCTGGTGAGTTTCAAGGCGTCTGAGCCCTATTCACCAATGGACGCTTCACCATACGAGGAAACACTAGCTGCTGATCCAATCTCTCGTGAAAATTCCTTGACATCCAATGAATCACTCAATCTTAACAACAACTCCATTGTATTTGACGAGTCAATCCCTGAAGTCTTAAATGATACTATAGATGAAGATCTGCTTAATGCTACAGAAGGCTTAAATATAGGTGAAACTAGTTTGGGTGCAACTGAAATAGAAGAAGATGAAGGCTCTATTTACCATTCTCATGCAAACCATGGTGCTGAAGCTCCGCTAGAGGAATCTGTTTCAGTTGCGGATACCGAAAGCTACAAATCTGCAAATGAAGAGTTGGATTTTAGTGGTGATCGAGCAGCTATTTCAGAAGAAACAGAAGTCAGTTCGAGTTTGAAATTTGAGAGGCAGGATAGTGATGGCCGGAAGCAATTTAGTTTTTCTTCAAATTCAGAGGATGCATCCAGGTCAAACTTTATATTTGCTGCCTCATCTGCTGCCCAAAGTCAATTATCTGCATCCAAGCGCCAATACAAAAAGAAAAGTTGGGGAAAAGTTGGTCAAGAGTCTCATATTTCCTCAACAATTGCCATTGAAGTTCCGCTGTCATCTTCTTCTGCGCAATTCATTACATTTACGGGAAATTCATCACCAATACCGGCTCAAAGGAGTCAGAAAGGAGATCCATCTATGGCTCAGTGCAAATATGGAGCTGACTCTTGGGTGAACAAAGACCAGGAGATGAAACAAGAGTCCGTTTCTACTATAGCAGCAACAGTTGCTGCCCAGGAGGCTTGTGAAAAGTGGAGATTGAGGTTAGTGTTTGGTACTTATGATTGTTCTTGCCATAGATACCCTATAAGGTGTGTTCTTTGGAATTTTTCATTCCAACTAGGTAATTATCGTTTCTCTTTTGTTTACTTAACATTTTACAGAGGGAACCAGGCATATGCAAGTGGTGATTTATCTAAGGCTGAGGACCATTACACTCAAGGGGTGAATTGTATTTCAAAAGATGAGTCGTCTAGAAGCAGTCTCAGGGCTTTGATGCTTTGTTATAGCAATCGTGCAGCAACTAGAATGTCTCTTGGAAGATTGAGAGACGCAATCAGTGACTGTACAATGGCTGCTGCTATAGCTCCTGGCTTTTATAAAGTGTACCTTAGAGCTGCAAAGTAAGATCTTGCTGTTTCTTTATTGTATCTTTCGAGGCCTGTCTAATTCCGAGTTTGATACACACATATGCACTTGTCCTTAACTCTTTAAGAATACTTTGTTGACTTGCTATATTGAGTTAAAGTAATATTTTCGTAACAATAGTTAGTTGCTGAAGCATTTTTATAACTGTATATCTGATGCCTGTGTGTTTA